CTGAATAGATATAAAAGCTACAAATCAATAGTTTTTTAAGTATATTATAAAAAGAATAATATTATATATTTATATTTACTATTATATTTAAATTATTTAATTCAACTACTTAATATTAATTATTTTAATAATCTAAAACATTTATATAATAATTAAATTAATGAATTTATTAAGGTATATATCAATCATATTTCAAAAATTAAATTCTTTATAGCTTTTAAAGCTATATATAAAAAATCAATTACTTTTTAAAATATAAAATTAGAATTTTAAGGAACAAATTTAATTCTATTTAATTCTAAAATTATATTCTTGAAATTAGATATTTGAATTTGTATACTTATCCTTTTCTCTTTCAATTTAAATTAATAAATTTCTTAAACCTTTTATAACCTAATTAAAGTTCTTTTTTAATTAATATTAGTTAAATCTCAAATAACTTATTATTAATTAAGCTCATTTATATTTATATTTAAGATTATATTAACTTTAATTAAAAGTATAGAATAATTAGCTTATAAAAATATACTTTTGAATATAAAGATTTATATACTTTAAATAATAAATAAAATATTAAGTAAATATTAATATATATAAAAAACTTAATTATATTAAGAAAAAATGTTTACTAAATAAAAATCTTTTGATATATTATTTTAATAAAAGATTGATATTTAGATTTAATATAATAAATATTAAAAAGAGAATAAATTTAATAAAAAAGTATTTTTTATTTAATATTATAATAAATATAAAAAGATAAATTATAATATAAAAATCTATTAAAATAATATAATAGATTTTAGATTATTAAAATTTAAATAGTTTTAATTAATTGATTTAATTATTATTAAATAATATAAGTTTGAAAGTGTAAATTGAGGTAAAAGTAGTGTATACATTAATATGATGTATGTATTGATAAATTACGTTATATCAAATAATTTTACACTTCGCGACCTAATGTTGTATTTATGAGATCTTACGGAAATCGACCAAATCAAGAACTTTCGAATTCATCCACTCATTAAACTCTGGCCAACAGAAAATATACGCACTCGTTGAAGTAAAGGAAACTTTCATAAATCCAGAGTTGTACCTAATGATGTATTTTTCACACAGGAGGAATAATTACATTCATATTAACCCTCGCCAAGAAATTAATCTCATTCAATGACAGCTTTAACAGCTTTTGACGCTTTCAGTCTACGGTCATCGTAATGTCAAAATGAGCTTGACAACACTCGTATTCCCAAGCAAATAAGATTAATAATAAAATGATAAATCTTAAGTTCAGTACCCCACTTTTCGGCCACCCCTCTTTTCGGCCACCTCATAAAATATATATATACAATTTTTAAACTTCAATAATTCAAAAACTATCCAATTACAATACAATCTTCTGTAGTATCAGTTTCATATATACTATTGAAGTCCACCCTATCAATTTCACGATCACCGGCTTCGATTTGAGCCTGGTATATAGCCTTAATCCCAGAAAACTTCGAATTTGAGCTAGTATTAACCTTCCTCTTTTTTTTAGATATAACACATTCTAATTTGTGTTCTAATTCTTTTATTCGATGTTTAGACTTCATAATTTCATAGTCCTTAGTATCAAATACTTTTTGGATCTTTCGAAAGAGTAATCGACGAGCGTATAAGTCTGTTTCTTTTTCAGATTCTAATATTAATATATATTTTCGTAAATCATTTGCTTTTTGTGGCGTTTCCCATCGAATCAAAGATGAATCTATATTCCATTGAAGTATGAAATCATTATCTGAAATCGAATTCAAACTTTGAATTTCTTTATTACTATTTTCAAGCAATAATCTGAACAAAAGAGGCTTAACACGGTTTTGAGGCTATAAACCTGAAGCTCTCTATCCTAAAATGATATTATTCAGAGTTAAATTCTTTAATTTTGTTTTCTAATAGTATATAAGAAAATTCCTTTTGCTTATAGGTATAGAATTAGATAATGAATCTAATTTATTAAGCTCATACTAGTATTTACATTTTAGAAAAAAGAATATCGATAAATCAAGAGGTTGTAATATATATGATGTATATGAAAAAAGGAATAAAAGATATATATTGTTCTTGAAGTATTCAAGCATAAATTGAGTGGTTTTGTGGCTTTTATGCCCGTCCAAAACAAGCAATCTAGCCTCTTTTGGGTCAGAAGGGGCGGTTTAAGGAATAAAGACCTCTTTTAGCCATGCTAGACCTGTTTCATTGATAGTCCATTCATTTTCTATAGCATGGAACTTCTAATCCTTATATATATCAAGCTTAATAGAGAACCATTATTGTTGAATACTTTTATTCTTATATATAACAAAGAATAATAATGCTTTTCCTATAACAAAAATATATTCAATAAAAGAGGTTCAACTTCTTGTACCAAACTACTTCTTTTGAATAAAGCATCTCTCAGCACTTCTAAATACTATATCATTCAAGCCCTGACCTTTTATAATACCAGCTTTATTTATATTCCATTTGTTTTTTGGTTTAATATAAATAATAGCCGGCAAATTCAACTTTTTGAAAAACTTGCTAATAATTTCGATAATAGTATCTAAAACATATTAATTATTGATTCTGATTTGTTTTTTGATTTGAATTTCAGGGTTTCTAAATAGAAAGTTATATATTCATTGTTTTCTAAATGTAGGCTTATTCCCTTTCATTTCGAAAAGGGTTTTATCAATTTCTTATATCTACTGATATGTAGGACTAATGTTCAAAACCTTTTGAACTAATATTCATTTGATTAATACTTTCTCTTGTATTGGGGTTATCTTTTGTATATTTTGAGTATCTTTTTAATGGGAAAGGTGATCTTTTATATGGCACTAAAGAATAATACGGAATATTCTATAATTCAAACCAGCTTTTTTGATAATTATACTTCCTACTATAGCACTAAGTGCCATAGCAATATCATCTTCAATATAACCACTACCCATAATATAATTAACAATATATCAAATTTTTGAATTAATTGATTTAATAGTTATTAAATCATTAAAGATTGAAGAGAGGTGGTTGATTAGAGTGATGAGATTTATGAGGTGGCCGAAAAGAGGAGTGGCCGAAAAGTGGGGTACTGAACTTATCGATAACATGGTTTATCAGTACGTACACCATATCAGTATATACATCATTATTTTTACATATAAAAAACAATTATATGTAACTATACACTTTCTTTATTTATTAATATAATTTAATTTTTTCTTATATATTATATTTATTTATATAAATAATATAAAAATAAATTAAAATAGTAAAATCTTATAATAATAATAAAGTTATTTAAAGAAATAGATTTTTGTAATACAAAGTATAACATTCTTGAACTACAATTAAAATATCTATAAAAAGATCAAATTTTATAAATATTTTATTTTTATTATTTATAAGGAAACTTTTTTAGAGAAAAAATAATAATTAATAAATTAAATAAAAATATTAATAAAAGATTAATTTTGATGTATTTTAAAGTAATGTACATACTGATATGATGTACATATTAATAAACCACGTTAACGAAACCCCTTCTCAAATTCGGAGATGCTGAATTAACACTCGGACTTCAGCGTTGCTGGGCATAAATATGAAAGGCGGGACTTGCCGACCAGTATATAAGAGCCTTAACTTGGGGTATTAATAATTCTACACCTCTCCCACCTCTTCCACATCTACAACCTCAATCTTCACAGCGCCCACCTTAAAAGCAACATATCGTTATCGATATCATCATCTTCAATAACCCACACGCATCGGGATTTTCCTCTACTTCAAGAAAACCGTGGTTTATACGAAGGGTAGGGTTGAGCGATTTATAATTATTATAAGTATAATAAACCTGACGATGTATAATAATACTTAAATCTAAATATAAAGTAAACATATTGTATATTTTTTTGAACAAAAATAATGAATATGATTAAATCAAATCAAGAAAAAACTAGAAAGAAAATATTAGAGAATAATTATTTTATAAAGTATAAATTATATAACTAATACTCTATAAATCGTTACTAGTCTATACTTTTATACCTTCGTAATAAAGTAGTTAGTTTTTAATAAGATCTATAGATTTACTTTTGAATAAGATTAATTATACTAAGTAATAGGGTTAATGATTTGATTATTAAAATTCATAAAATTTATTTTTAGTTTCCTTTATAGTAAATTTTTTTATTACTCATCTTAAAATGATTCAGATGTTATAACAAACATTACATAACACATTTGCTTATTATATGAGGGAGCCTTAAGAAGCTACGAGCTCTAGGAGCATATGGATCCTAGAGGTTCCAGATAATGAAGGTCTATATAATAAATAAGTTTCATTAGGATATAGAACTTTATACTTAAGAATAATTATTAATTTTATTACTATAATTATAAGAATTGCAATTAGTTATAACCTTATTGAATTTCTATTTGAAGTTTAAACTAAACTACCTCGAGAGAACTCTAGACACTTCCACGTAACCCTAGAGGCAGCTCCCGTAACATCAGAATTGGTTCTAGTTTCATTTATCCTTGTTGGAAATCACGTGTGTAGTCCGTGCTACGCACCTCCTGAAGAGCTTTCACCTCTCCCCCCTTTTCATATTCTATATACTACCATATGTACTTTGTGTACAACTTGCTGTCTACTTCTGACAATCCTATTGATTTGATTGGTTGACTAATTATATGAATAATCTTAGCGTTATAATATAGAGTTAACTTATATATTCACCACCCATATTATATAATCGTAATCTGCCCATCCCTAACGGAGGGAAACTTTATTACTTGGTGGAGATCATCCATGCTTGGTATGTATCCTGGGGGGGCGTCGGGTCGATGATCTGCGGATGGATCCATCAATCAATACTCCGTACCACCAAATTCACATGCACGGACCTCTCCTTAAGTTCTTGATGGTTGGCAATCCATTTGAACTTCTGGGATCGTGGAACGGAAATGTAACGACGATTTTCCGGTCCAATGATGAAATAGGCGTTCCAGGAATAGGGATTGGAAAGAAAGATCTTAAAGCCCGGATGCCCATAAATCTTTCTCTGTGCATCGCGTGCTCCCTGGCGCTTTGCTTTAATGTTGGGGTGCATATGAAGATCTTACCTTCAGTGTCGATAATAGTATGTAAGAAGAGAGCAAATAATCGGGATTTGATTCGGAATGACGGAAAGTGAAGCATGGCAGCTACATGTAGCTGTGTATGTGTGTTACCCGCTGGCATTCATCGGGGTGTCATTGAGAACTTATGTCAGGTACTTCATGCAGAATGTTATGGGATGGGACGATTGGTTGATGATTCTCAGTTTGGTGTGTCAACATACCATTGTTTCAATTGAATAGAAGAATTGATAGCTAATTGAACATGAAATGATAGGCCTTTTATACCATGTACACGAGTTTCGTCTTAGTAGGATTACATTATGGAACCGGACGACATCAAGAAGATCTGGAAGAAAGTGATTTCCTATGGGCGATTCGAGTAGGTTCCTCTCCCATCCGGAACATGAACTATCATTCAACTCGAAATGTGACTAACTTATAAAAAGTACTGGTATTTCGGAGAGTGGGCCTATGTTGTGGCGATGACCATAATAAAAACTGCCATCGCCCTTTTCTACCTCCGAATTATGATTATCCCCTGGCATCGCGCCGCTGTAAAAGTCATCATGTGGATTGTGATATCCTTCGGCTTTGCATATTTCTGGTGCGTGGTCATACAATGCTGGCCTATACCTTTTATTTGGGAGCGATATGCTACGACTCCTGGTAAAAGTACTGGAAACTGCTTACCTAGAGGAATCGTTTTGGGTGGAACATATCTGCATAGTATTATAAGCGCGGGAAGTGATTGGGCATTGGCTTTACTGCCAATTGTCATGTTGTGGAATGTGCAGATGCCAACCGGTATAAGACTTATTGTTGGGGGAATTGTGGCGTGTGGTGCTATGTGCGTTCTTCTCTTTTATCTTGCCTTCTTTCCTCCCTATCATCGTAACTTGTGAACAGATAGCTAATGTCATATGCCGCACAGTGCTAGCACAGCAACCATCATTCGTATTCCCACCGTTTCAAGTATATTAGATACGGATGATTTCCTCTTCAAAAGCATCCCCCTAGCCGTCTGGTCGACCGTTGAACCCGGAATAGCCATATTCGCCGCATCTCTCGCTACTCTCCGACCACTACTTCGAAGAATCTTCCCAGATCATTTCCGAAATGCAGCGATCCCATCACTAGCATCATTGCGAATCCCCACAAATTTGGCAAGGAAAAAACTACCGTCAGATAATGTCGAGATGGGAATTAACACGACATGCTACAGCGAGCCAAGACCTGGACAGACTGCAGAAGAAAGCTTGGAGACTATACAAATTCATTTAGATGACCGAATTGAGGTTGATAGAAGTACAAGTAAATCAATGGCAATTCACGAGGAGTCTTCAGGTCTTAATCTGGGATCGGAGGAGAGTCATATCTTGAGATCAAAGGAGAGTGATAACGAAATGGTGGAATTACCGCATACCTATCTGGGAACATCTCCACGTCTCGCACCATTAGTCTTTTCTCCAACATGTCTCACGCACACGATTCCATCGCCATCAACTCTTTCGCCTTCACATGTCGCGTCGTGCATGAGGGACAGTCAGTACAATAGGAATTCGAAGGTCGTCATACCGTCTTCGCCTATTTGAAGCTATTTCGAGATCTTTACACAATCAAAAAAGATAGAATTCAAGTATGATTAGATTTTTGCACTCAATCATACACCAACCAATGTGGTATAGGATCGATGTCTGTGTATCGGACATGGGATGAAATATCAGACGGGTCCCAAAACAATCGAAAGACACTCCTACGAGTGTCAAACGCTGGCCTGTGATGACCTCTAAACACACAGCAAGATGATTTTAAATTGAGGGTCGAAAGTGGGAATACAAGAGGATAATAGAAAAGCAGGGTTCCGTCTTCTACACAACGCAGGTGGTTCAGTTGGAGGCCATTTCTGCAGCCCAACAATCACTATCCGCAGAACATTTCAATTTATCTTGAGCAAAATTTTATCAAATTGTGTCGAAATTTTTGTCTCACCTCGGTTGGAAAGACAATAGAATTGAAATCACAAATCGATCCTGCACAATGGACATGACTTTTGCGGGTTGGGGTGGAAGATGGTGTGAACAAAATAAGTTGAAGAGGGGAAGAGCATGATTGGTGCAGCTTGATGGTGTAATTAAAAAATGCTCGGAGTAAATGAAGAATAAAAATAAGGCATGATGTTGACAATTGGTCAGAATTTGGCCGGTTGAGGTTCAGTCCTCGGTGATGGGGTTTATACGGTAAGAGTCTGGCCATCAACTTATTTGATGATTGGTGGACAAATCTTTATCAAGATACAAAATGTATTAACATGAAAATAATTTATCAGATCACTTTCAAGGAACTATCTGTAACATATTGTGATGCAAGATCGTTGGCTGTGCTACCAACCTCGCATACACTAATTGTGCTAAGGATAACTGCTAAGTACAATACGAGGGTCCCAGCAAACTAGGTGGCAATCACTTAGATAGTGCGATAAATAAGCGTTTGTAGCACTTTATTGATTATCGTGGCCCCATTCTCTTATCGAGTTACTTTTTTGATATCATTTCAAGAGTATCAGCGCTCACTTGGAAGCGCTCACAAGAAGAAATCCTTCAAGCCTATCACTCATGCCATCTGTTTCACTCTTCCTCCCTTTCTCTAGTATAGCAAGTGCCTCTTTGACTGGAACTCTCACAGTCTTGACATGATCGATAGGCAAACCGAGTAGTTCATCCCGAGTTCGGTCCCACAAAGTTCCATCCCATGATCTACGGACAAGCAACAACCCCGTCTTAGCCACATCATTATCATCTATACAAATGAATAATATCTTTTCAAGACCTTCAATGAAACGCTTTTCACGACAGAACCAAGGAAATCGTTTCAGAGCCTCACCATAACTCCATATAATCTGCTCCAGACCATGACCTGGCCGCTTAGTCACTTCAGGCGCATAAACCAATCTCTCCTCTCCAAGACTCCGATTGGCGGCCTCAGAATCAAACGAGTTAGCACAAAAGCCAAGCTCTTTTCCATTTGTGTTGTACTGGAAGGCGATGAAGACTGGCTGCTCGCGCACACTTTCCGATGGCCAATCAGCATCACCATTAGCCAAGATTAAGAAACGTGTCTGAAGACCATCGTTGCAGGAATACGGAACGCGGATGTGCGAAGGGGTAGCAAGGGCCGTTCCTTTCCCGAGGCCGCGCAAGTTTGTGTTTCCTGTCGTTTCTAAGTGGCTTACGCCCCACGATGGTGATTTAACCATCAGCATGCCCTTCTCATCAGGGTTTGCCGTGTCGATGACCAGGAGGTGAGTTTTGTGCAGCCATCTGTTCTTTGAACAGCGCTGGGGATGAATGATAGTGACATGTTGGATAAGGCCCCGAGTAGATCTTGGGCTGGAGGTGAAAAATGGAGACGCGAGTACGGCTTGAACGCGGCAGGTGAAGTCCTCTGGCGACTTATGTTTGAACCCTGGCTCCAGCTTTGCAAGAACATCTTGTTCGAATCAACTTGGGTGGATATAAATGGGAATGTAGTAGCCTAGCGGGATATTTTTGAATGGTGCTGGTGGACCGTCATCATTCTAGTGATATTGGGTGCTGCAATTCAGAAGAATGTGTCGATGATGACGAGGACGAGCTCATTGGTCCTCGTGGTACAGCGAATGATGGCGACTCGGCTGAAGAAGGAACGGACAATGATCCAGACGCAGGTCGGAAGAATAAGACGAAGATTAAGAGATGCAGCGGCCTCCGCAAGAGTCTTCCTGGTGCGCCTGTATATCGTACAAGCTTAGGTTTATTAGAGCTGGATATCCCCGGCGGCGCTGTTTTAGGACAGCAAGCTTTTGTTGTCTTGCCACGCAATGCGGCGATGTGGGATGAGCAAGCTCAATTTGGGAACCCCAACCAAATGCGAGAGTTCCATGGTGACAAAGATGAAGACGAGGACGAGGAAGATTATGACTAAATGTTGGCGAATTTGGATATCAGAGTAGACACAATTGTCGAGGAAATCATTCCGGCTGTCTGAATCAAGGAGAACTTTTTTGTATAACAACATTACAGCTAGGGTCTGAGAGAAGTTTATAGAAACATAGCACGGATGAGGAATATTCAAGCTTTCTTGAATTATTTTCATTGGACGTGATAATCGATTGACCTTGATAAAGCCGTGGAAAAGGGCATAGTAACCTTAAGCTGGAGCTTAACATGCTTACCATAGTAACTCGCACCCAAATTTTCATTTAAACACATGAAATGGGAAGTAAAATTTGCTCACAACATATTGGTGAGCTTTCCTTGAAGAACCTTGAACAATGGACTGTCGAATAAATGAGAGGAAGGGTCTCAAGGGTTTGAATTCAGAGAGGTCAGGTCAAGTTTGCTAGCGTCGGAGAGCTCTTCTTCAAATTCCGATCCGAAGAATCACCGACAATTGAACAACTTTAGACATTTACTCCAGAAATCACCTTGTATCGTGACGCACTTTAGAAAGAGATCGTGCCTTTGATCGCCTCATGAAAATATGGCCTTTGATATGCAATGGATGATTCGAGAGCTAGAACCAGTGTTTACTAGTTCTTGATGTCGCGCACACATGATGGCACATAAAAATGACAAGTCCCTCGAGTTGAAGGACCAAACATTGAGAGATCAGCCTCATTTGATTGTTCCTGGGTAAAGGGACGCCTCTGAAATTGTTGTACCAAAGAATAAATACCATATTTATCTCGAAGCTGGATACTGGGAAATGAAATGATTCTCTTCTGTTGGAACCAAGTGTCATCGATATCTATATAGGATGACATCTTACCTTCAAGTGGAATTTATGAGAATTGACCAAAATCTCAAGTGATATTTGATCCGAACCAATTACCCTTGATAACCTGACAAAATGGAGTATGAATTCCTTTCCATTGCTTGCTGTCATTGAAGTACTCTTCTCTCGTCGTTGTCCGAGTCATTGTGGTAAAAAGGAATGACTATGGTGAATCACTACAGTAATTCACAATCGCGCATGCGCACTTATATCATACAGATGGAGAACGTAGGTCTTATTTGAATCATCTCGCTCTGGTATTGAAAATACTGCAAGGTGATGTCGACTTACCTACACCGTTCATAATTGTGGTTGGCGGCTTGCATCGTTCTATTATGAAATTTAACCATACGTTATTTCCCATCAGAAGCCCTCTTATCGAACAGTCAGAGTTTCGCATTAACTGCGGGGTAGAACTTTCCTTCAACAAGAGAATCACTCGTAAACTTTACTTCAGTGGTCTTAGAGTGCTCTTGCCATCTCTGATCTACTGCTCTTCTTCCAAGTGAATTCCATGATCGAGATATTCTGACTTGTTTCAGACTTCAACTTATCATATGAAACTTGTGGAACATGTGCAGCAACGTCGGAGAATAGAGTGAATTCTCCTCGTTAGCTCCATTAACAGCACTCCTGTTAAGTCAGTTGCCAGATACTTTTGGGATTGGATAGAGAGGGAATTAGTTGTGGACCAATTTGCAATTTTTACCCAGTATTTCCTGCACCGAATATTGAGGAAGAGATATCCCCAGGTACTATTCAGTGATAAACAAAACAGGAATCATAGGAAGGCTTCTCTCAAACTTCTTATCATACAATATAATCCTCGAACGTCTCAAACGCAAAATTACAATAATCCCACCTTGGAGATCATTGCCAGTACACTAACAAAGTCATTCTCCGTGTTGAAATCGTGCTTCCGTATCCGAGGTTTTTACCGGAAATTCCTCGTCTCATATGACCCCCTCGAATAAAATCATTTGCCGATTTCGGTCTTTTCTTGATCCCGAGACACAAAACTAAGCTGCTTTACCTTCCAGGAGTGGGTCAAGATCCTCAACAATCACTTTATCAGATTCTCGCATATTTCACTATTTAGGTAGACAATCTCTGCTTCTACAACTCTGTCTTTCTGCAATCGTCAATACACGCTGGCACAAACCACATACAGGCAAGAACTTCTTAAATCTTTTAATTTAACCTTTTCGCTTCGCCGCATAAAGTTTGATCATACCGAGAGGCAAGTACGACACCTTTGGGATACTCACAAAGATGGCAGGCTCTTTTGACGTTGAAAAGAGTGTCGCGGAGCTTCCTGCTCATGTTGATGTTCTTCCGCCCACAATCTATCTTCCTCCGGGACGAATCTGTCGTGGAGCCCCGGAACTGATTGCTTCCAACGCTTATCATCCCGACAAGACCTTTTCAGCCTACGACCCTACAGTCAAAGAATGCAACCTCGAGCCAAGCAGATTCCAAATTATGACCGACCACGACACAAACTCTCGACCCTCATGCTTTACAAACTGGGCTCAAGAATGGGCTTTCGTATTTACTGTTATGCTTGCTTCTTCTTCTACAACCATCATCCAAGGTGTCATTCTCATAATGACCAATACGATAGGCCAAGGATTAAAAGCCTCTGCTCCTCAAGTAACATGGATCGCAGCTGCAGTTGGGTAATTCTCCCCTCCATATTTATACTGTCTACTCTCACAGACGTGGATCAGACAGTAGGATGCTAACAATCAATTAGACTTGGCAGTGGTTCGTTTATGCTCTTCTTCGGTAAAGTAGCGGATGAACTGGGTCGAAAGATTCAGTTACTTATCGGATTACTATTTATGAGTGCCTTTGCTTTCGTCGCCGCTTGGAGTCCAGGTCCATACGAACTAATCGTCATCTGTGGCCTTCTTGGAATGTGCACAGCAGTAATTGCTCCACCAGCTCTCGGTATCCTCTTCACCGCTTATCCAGAAGGTCGTCGAAGAAACATGGCATGTGGTGCTCTTGGAACTGGTAATCCGGTCGGCTTCATTCTAGGAAGTGTTTCATCCGGTCTCGCCGTCAAATATTATGGATGGAGAGCGAGTTTTGTCGTCATGGCTATATTCTTTTTTCTTTTGGTTATACTTGCTTTTTGGACTGTGCCGGTGATTACAAGAGTGGGTAATAGATCAGATGCCATCCGAAGATTCGATTATGCTGGTTCTATATTCATTGTTTTGGCTGTCGCTTTGTTATCAGCAGGACTGACGTAAGTAATTAATCAATTTCAATTCTGCACTCTTACTGATGACTTCACAGAGAAGGACCTCAAAGTGGTTGGCTATCAGTACACGTTGTTCTTTTACTTATATTTGGTGTTTTCTTCATCCTTGGATTTATCACCTGGGAATACTTCTACGAAAATCCCCTTCTCGATCTCTCGGTTTGGCGCAACGGCAACTTTAGTCTTTGTGTAATCTGTATGGGATTCGGTTACATGTCCTTCATCACAAACGAATTCTGGATCGCATTATACATGCAAGATGTACAACATTACACACCATTGCAAATTGCTGCTCGTATGTTGCCTCAAGCAGTGGCAGGAGTATTTTGGAGTTTCTTGGGTCAATGGCTTATTCAAAAGATGCATGGAACCATTGTGATGGGTATTGGATCTCTGATGTATCTTGCCGGGGCAATTCTATTGCTCTTCATCGAGGAAGATACATCATATTGGCTATTCCTATTTCCGGCACTTGTCATTACAGTCATCGGTGCGGATTTTCAGTTCATCGTCGCGAATGTAAGTTTTCTTTCCTACCTTTTCTTTCCCCCCCCCTTCTTTTCCGCCTTTTGTTTCGCATCACATTCGCTCGTCCTCTTTCCTCAAATCTACCTACCTGTATCTAACCAAAATCAGCTCTACGCAAATAAACAAATGCCAACTCAAGCATCCCTCGGTGTAGGAGTCATTCAAACAGCCTACAGACTCTCCATAACCATTGGTCTAGCCATTACATCCGCCATCTTCAACACCACCACTTCAAAAGAAGAAAGTATCGAAGACCCAACTATCCCTTACCGACGTGTCTATATCTGTTCCATAATATTTGCCAGCATCGGACTCGCATGTATCCCATTCATGCGAATCCAAACCCGCACCAAAGATAACACATCTACATCTCCTCGCGCAACAACCTTGAGATCAGAAAACAACGCTAGTATGATTGTCAACCATCCTTCATCTCAACTATATTATGACACCTTACTCCGACAACTGAATCTCCATCGCGAAAATCCCCTCAATATTGACGAACGAGTTCTCCGTGAACATCGTACCGAGATTAACAATGCTCAACGCTACGACCCTGCTCTCCCCAGATCGATGACTATGAATGATATCGCCCAGGGTCTTCTTCGTCTTCCTCGATGGAGCTGGGAAAATAGACCACGAGCGGGTTTTTGGAGAAATCGTAGAGGTAGTCAATGTCACTGGGAGAGTAGTAGTGGAGATATTTTTGAGATTTGCAAGAAGTGTAAGGAGGAGCGAAAGATCAAGGATGAAGAGGGTGCGTGGAATGAGATTGATGAGGCAGGTAGAGATTGTGTTAGGGAGAGTGGAGGACGCAAGGCTACGAGAGCTATGGCGTTGGAGATTAAGGATGAGAGGAGATTTACTGTCTAGGGAGTTGTTTGCGAAGAGCTGTTGATGATGGGCGGCTGCATGATGCGGGGCTACCCAACATGATAATGCGTATGGAGCTTTGCGGTTTGGAGCGGGATGCTTACTTGCTTTTTTGCATGTTTGCGCTTCTGCTTACTTTCGACAATTGCTTCTTGCACCTACATCTTCGCTCACGTTACGGCTTACATGGGATGGAGAACGATCGAGCGGGCGCAATAAGGGCTTGGGATAAAGCGAGCGAGCATGGAGGAATAAATGATACGACGAGAGAAATTGATGGAGACGAATCATAGAAAGATTATACTAATTAGAGATACGACGATACGACACAATACAGTAGATAGCGGGAGAGATGTGTATTGCAAGTTCGGAGAGTAGATAGTTAGATAAAAATTAGAGAAAATACAATGGGATGTTTTATACATGGTTTTTGGGGGCTTTGAGTTATAATGGGGAGGATAGTAAAGGGAAGATTGCTAGGAAATATACGTACTTGATAACTAAGACTGCATTGAGAGCGCACAGGGACCTATTACTGGAAACGTATCCTCATCATCGCATGTAATCTTAGCTGCTATATCAAAGTCGAGAAAATATCACCCGAAATCAACACAACGCAACACTCCAAAGCCAAATCCAAATCCACCACCCTCATTCTAATCCAGACTCCAGACGCCACATTCTTTCACCATCACCCACACATCATTTCTTCTCTACCGAATACCTCGATACGAATGAGAATTTCCCATCACCTTTTCAACACCGCAGACATAGAGACTCGATACAAATTTATCATCTCTCATCTTCTACCCTCCATATCCATATTCAAATACATTCCTGACCCCTCTCCCCCTCCCCCAGCCGCGTATCTATTAATACCCACCTACACAGAAATGATATTTTTCCCATCTTTAGCTAACTCTAACTCTAACTCCACCTCTACACATCTACATATCTACATACATAAATACCCAAGTACACACCATCACCATACCACACCATAAATCATTAACAACATGTACCGAAATCCAATTCACTGCTGAGATAATATCCCTCTTTCCCCCTTTCATCCCTTCCTTATACATAATACCTGGTATCCATATCCACATCCATTTGATCGAAACCCATCCATCTCAATAAATCAACTCTGTTGTCTATCCAAGGCCACAAATGGCATTCTCTACACATGGACTCTTAAGCCCAAGTTTCACATCACTCTCTGATCAATCACGCAGATTTCAGAAGACAAAGAAAGGGATGTTCCCATTCTTCCTTCTTGCCCTTCCCCCTCCTCTTCATCAAGTAGCTCCTTATCACCACACAATTCCTCAACTTTCAATTTTCTTTCGCACTTGATCATCTTCACCAAACGCTCTTCTTCACATTGTCATCACGACAGCATTGAAAACAATCAAATGCGCTCTTCATATATCTTGACTTCATTTCTTAATCTTATTCTTGGTCTTGTTCTCAAGCACTTCACTTTACTTTATCCGACCGCTCGCATGCATTCTTCTCCAGTGTCCCTTGACAGTGCCCACCAGATATCTTTATCCATCGATACCAATCTCCTTAACTCAAGTCGTAGCCTCATGAATCATATGCTCCAGCAATCCATAAATCTCCTTTCTTTCCTTCACATCATGGAAATTTCATGGAGAATTTAGCATCGATCATCCTCGAAACTTCATCCTTCGCAAAATAAATTAAATAAGAAAAAACGCAAAATTTTGAGTGATATGACTTTTTTGAATCCATCCGTGCCGATAGAAAGTTGGAAAAGCAAGGGCCAAACTCTAAACTCAGATATGGAAGCAACGCAGCATAAGACTCCAAAAGAGGAATAGGTATTTTACTTTTCAAAAGGAAATAGAAAATGAAAGGCGACAAATTTTCCGTTGTCGCAAAAAGTCGGTACAATTATACAAAGAGGTTATCTGTTCCCGTGATCCTTGAACGAAATTACTAGTCTTCGAAAAAAATCCCTAAGGTTTTGTCGTTTCGTCATAATTCCTAACCGTGAATGTGTAGAATAGTCGACCTCGAGGTAGTCATGTGCCGTGCATCAAGCACTTAAATTTATTCTTGGCCGAAAGCCTTCTTTCTCAAAGGGCAATCAAGCTTCTCGTGACCCTCTTGCTTGCACTCGTAGCATCGACGAGCCTCAGAAGTCTCTTGGCTGCAGTCACGGGACAAGTGACCGACCTGGAGGGTTTGTTAGTATACTGGTTGAATGAGATATGGATGTAGAAGAAGACTTACTTCACCACAGTTGTAGCACTTTTGACCTTGGGTGCAGTCACGGGAAAGATGTCCGTAACCACCACATGAGAAGCAGGTTTGGCTTCCTTGACGGGCACCACCACCGAATCCACCACCGTATCCACCTTGGTTACCTCCGTAACCTTGGTTTCCACCATAGCCACCAGCCTCTGGACAGTTACGGGCGATGTGGCCGATCTTGGAGCACTGTAAAATAAATCGCGTTAGAGAGAGATCATGTAGTGGGGGCGATACATCTTAATCTTACCTTGTAGCACTGTTGTCCACCACCACCTCCGTATCCGCCTCCGTATCCGCCACCACGTCCAGCACCCTCAGTTGGTGGGTTGGAGCAGTCCTTGGAGATGTGTCCGGAGGTACCGCACTAAAGAGATTGTTAATGACTTTGACGAATCGAAGTATGGAAAAATCAAGACATACTCTGTAGCAGACCTTCTCCTTTGGTCCCTCTGGGCAATCACGGCTCAAATGACCTGGGTCTGAAAGTATGTCAATATAATGTTGTATTGTTGATTGTAGGGTAATATCTTACTGTCGCAGTTGTAGCACTTTGGTGGTCCACGGCTTGGACATTCACGGGCTTGGTGACCTTCAGTTCCGCCTATATTTTTTGCAATCAGCTTGAATTCCAGAGCACTAAATGGTATTCGTATGATATCCCAAAAATGCTAGAAGATGATTGATCTGAAGTAGTGATGAATGTATTGTTCGTTGTGCAGAAGTGTTGTTGCAGAGTTTTCGTTCGAAAGAATCGTGTTTTGATTCCATGTTCCAAACATCAACCACCAATTTTCCGACAGATGATGAATTTCAGATAGTATCTTGAGCAATTATTCATCCTCCGTGGCGATGCTTCTGGTAAGGTTGGATTTGTTGGAGAATGACTGTTTCGACTTGAGGAATGAAGGGTAAAGGTAAAGAACTTGACCCCAACTCACAGGTAAAGCATCCACGGTTTGGGGCACCGCCTTGTTGAGCTCCGAAAGAATCCATTATGATTAGAGAGTCTGAGGTTTCTGTAAAGAATTGAGTCCCTGGTTAGTATTTTCAATCCGTCGGGGTAAACAAGAGAAGCTTTGATGGGTTGAAAGAATCGAAAGTTTTGAAGGGATTTCAAGTTCGAAGTGGGTTGAAGTGGGGTTACAAAGGAGGATAGAAAACAATACGACGAGCAAGAACAACTTACAGATTTGTTGATAGAATTGATTGAGGATGTCTTGAGAGAGATGATAGAGAATTTGAATTGACAAAGTCTCTTATGGGAATATCTTGGTACGTTGAAGAGGATTTTGTGGTGACTGAGATGTTTTCGTGAAAGAGGATGAAATCTTTTGTATGCAAAGGGTTTGGGGAAAGTACCGAATTCGAATTATATCCAAGCTCTTTACTTAATTCTCTCTTAGTCTGCTTTATTTTTTTTCTCTATTTTTTTTTCTCGGTTGTAAGGTTTTGATTCTAATTGTGCGCAGATGTGGCGTTGCTGATTGCCTTGGTATATATATGGATGTTTTTAATGTATTTTTAATGGGGAATGTACCATATTGTAACCTAGGTTATTACAGTAAAGTTTGGGGTGAGATGGGTTGAAGCTAGAGTCAACAAATCAGAATGAATCTCGTCGTGAAATGGAATCGAGGGGCTGAGAGGGAAGAGGAAAGAGAAAGCGAAAGAGGGGCAAGGGCAGGGCAGGGAGGGGTTATTATGTATGTAATGTATGTAATATGCTATGCAATATATACTTTGTAGGTGTGTCATATAATATTGTGATGTGTATGGATGGAATATGGGATTAATGAATAGGGCTTCCGATTTGTGTTAGGAAGCATCTGTCTAGGTACTCTGTTGATTGTGAGAAGAGCGGTCAATGTTGTTTGCACTGTAAGTACATGTGCCTAGGTATTTTTCATGATTTACCCAGAGTATTGGGTATGTAGTGCTAGGTATATAGGTATTAGGTATTAGGTATGTAGGTATATAGGTATATAAGTATATACATATATAAGTATATACATATATAGGTATATAGGTATGTAGGTATTAATTCCTGTGTGTCATTCTTTGGGTTCCCTCTCTCTCCCTCTCTCGCCTCTCGCTCCCCAACAATTGCTCCTTCCCCTATCCTCACTCATGTAAGGGTCCGTTTTATTTCGAGCCGGCGCTCTCAGGATAAACATTCCCTCCCGTACGGATAAGCACCTAGCGAGCCTAGATACCAGTACCTACCTACCGAAGCCTGCCTTCCTACATGGAAGCATAGAATTCGTGGTGTCTTTATACCAGTCGAGCCAGTCCATTCAAATACACACCTAGTACTTTACCAACAGTACAACAACATACACCGTTCTTCTTCAATATCGAAAACATGCTTTCCAAGGTAATTTATCAATTGGATCAACATGGTGTGTCTTGTAACATATCACTACATCAGGTCTAACTTAAATATCTAACCTGTTTATTTGTCCAACGATCTAATGTCTACGTCCCATTGCCATGTCTCGAATACAGAAAATCAAAAAGTCAATTCTCCAGATTACCTTGGTACGTACTCACATGTTACCATAGGATTAACTTTTTCATCGTCCACCATACTCACTCTTGTGCCCTAAGTACAGATATACATATACATATACATATACATATACATACATACGTACATACATACATACATTAAAAAGGACCCTTGATCATCATGACGGGTAGATACATCTGGGGTTACGGATTGCAACAGATCGTAATCTTTCACACAACCGGATTCTTTTGATAGGTTCCCCGAAACTTCGGTAATCCCATTCTTGATCACGACGATGGAGGGGGTTACACATTGAATAATATACTTGGGTAGTACACGATGTAAGTGGTTGCCAATCTTCTCGTTGTACATCATAAGATTTTCACGGAATTGGCGCCCGAGAGACATGAGTGTACGAGTAAGACAACCAAGTAGGAGATTATTCGACGGGACATTCAATGTTTTGTCCTAATTCTTCGGATTTGGAAGTAAAACGGCGCTCAAAGGGTTATGGCGGGGCAGATGTATTACCTGGGAGGTATCTCCTTTCACCCAGAAGAGTAAGAAGGGATTGCTCCGATGGTACGGTGTCTCTCTACACCCACTCGTTAAAGGGGTTCTCTCACGGCCGGTATCGAGCTGTGTTTTGATGAATATCGATATATGAAGAGTGTATTGTGTTGTGTGTATGTGTTTGTGTGCGTGCATGCAGATACTATTTGAGTAGTATCGATGTACCTAACCAGAATGGCGCACCGAGAGCATTTGGTGAATGTAAAAATGTGAAGATCAGATTGATAATACTTGATTAGTACCTAGGTAGAGAACTTGAAGTCTTGAACAAGTCATAGACCTCAAGGAAGAGTGTCCTCCTGGTAGTTCATCTGTGCAAGGTCTTATTGATTGAGTAGGAAGCTTGAAAGACACTTCCAACCTTCGTGAGCTCACATTCATGCTTCCCTTCATGCTTCCCTTCATGCTTCACTTCTTACTCCACAAAATCCCATCACTCACAGGAGTCATTGCACGATGTACAAAGTAGTAACAAACCTAACATACCGCCGCCCGCTAGATCGAAATTCCAACTCGACCTTCCTTCCGAACCAATCAATCAACAGAATAAATACTAAGATCACGTTATGTTTTACTTTACTCACCCCTCGACACCATTCCCTCTATTGATTTGTTCATTTGTTGAAACTGACTGTATCAACAACCAGGATAACCTCCTCCCTTCATCTTGTTGTCCTGTCGAATTTAAACAAATTCAAGGGGACGCGAGGTTTGCCCCGGCGACGCGACTGTCAACATTAAAATATTACTGACAGAGACCCTGAGACCTGTGCCACATCATCTGATATTAAAATCTTTACGAAATACAGTACAATCTCTAAGTTCTGATAAGCTTCAGTTCAACATTCATTTGAATCCCATAACATACCACCGTACCTATTGTCTTACTTCAAAACTAATACACCAACACACCTAAAATATCCCATATTGTTATTTCAAGGGAAATCTTACCCCAGGTAACTTCATCCAGGCGCATACATAGTCCCCATTGACGCCGGGTATCTATAAGAAACCTAAAAAGCAAATAATTCCGCAATTCCTATAACGACCTCTAACGATAACAACAATGATAACCACGATACACTGATCAATTTAACGTCCTTCCTTTTCTCTTTCGATGATTCATTCAACCCGAAGCCGCATTTTCCATTGGACACCTGTCTATTCGACCACAATCTACGATCCCTTCAACCAAACAGTATCTCTCGCAGACATCGCGGTTGTGAAAGGAGAGCTTCACAAAAAGGATAATCTGGACCATTGAACATCTGCAAACATGGCGCCCGGTGGTGGAGGAAATATTAAAGTCGTTGTGCGGTGTAGGCCGTTCAACAGTAGAGGTATGCGGTGGATATGTTGCCAAACCCCATTTTTGTGTCAGGACTGATGACTCGGGATAGAGATCGATCGCGGAGCAAAATGTATAGTGCAAATGAAAGATGCGCAAACGGTCATCACACCACCAGAAGGACATGAGGCGAAATCAAGGGATGCAAAGGGTGGAAAGGGAGATTCGGGCCAGAAGGTTTTCGCTTTCGATCGTTCATACTGGTCCTTTGACAAAAATGATCCGAGTTACGCAGGACAAGACAATCTCCATACAGATCTGGGAAAACCTCTTTTGGATAATGCCTTTCAAGGTTACAATAATTGTATCTTCGCATATGGTCAAACGGGTTCGGGAAAATCTTACTCGATGATGGGATATGGGAAAGACGCTGGTGTCATTCCAAAGATTTGTCAAGATATGTTTGAGAGGATAGGGGAATTACAACAGGACAAGAATTTGAAATGCACAGTCGAGGTATCCTACCTGGAAATTTACAACGAACGAGTGCGAGATCTTCTAAACCCATCGACAAAAGGCAACCTGAAAGTTCGAGAACATCCTTCGACTGGACCATATGTGGAAGACTTGGCGAAATTGGTTGTGAGTAGTTTTCAAGAAATTGAAAACCTGATGGATGAGGGAAATAAAGCCCGTACCGTTGCAGCTACGAATATGAACGAAACTTCTAGTAGAAGTCATGCTGTCTTCACTTTGACTTTGACTCAAAAACGATTGGATGTTGAAACAAAGATGGCAATGGAAAAGGTTGCGAAAATTAGTTTGGTCGATTTGGCAGGTTCCGAGCGAGCAAATTCTACGGGTGCAACTGGAGCTCGATTGAAAGAAGGTGCGGAGATTAATAGATCTCTATCGACACTTGGTAGAGTTATTGCTGCGCTGGCCGACTTATCAGAAGGAAAGAAGAAGAAAGTGGGAAAGGGGAATCAAGTCCCTTACCGAGACAGTGTTTTGACATGGCTTCTGAAGGATTCTCTGGGAGGAAACAGTATGACAGCTATGATTGCTGCTATTAGTCCTGCAGATATAAATTTCGATGAAACTTTAAGTACCTTGCGATATGCTGATAGTGCGAAGAGAATCAAGAATCACGCAGTTGTAAACGAGGACGCGAATGCTCGTATGATCCGTGAGTTGAAAGAAGAATTGGCTCAATTGCGAGGTAAATTGACAGGTGGTGGAGGTGGCGGAGGAGGGGCAGGCCCAGCAGATGAGATTTATGCAGAAGGTACACCTTTGGAGAAGCAAATGGTCACAATTGTTTCATCAGATGGTGCTGTGAAGAAGGTATCGAAAGCGGAAATCACCGAACAACTCAATCAAAGCGAGAAACTCTACTCAGATCTCAACCAGACTTGGGAACAGAAGTTACAAAAGACTGAAGAGATTCACAAAGAGCGAGAAGCTGCCTTGGAAGAATTGGGTATCAGTATCGAAAAGGGATTTGTTGGATTACATACACCAAAGAAGATGCCTCATCTTGTGAATTTGTCCGATGATCCACTGTTAGCAGAATGTCTTGTGTACAACCTCAAACCTGGGTCGACTTCGGTTGGAAATGTCGATACGAATGCAGCCCATGCAGCGGAAATTCGACTTAATGGAACTCGTATATTACATGACCATTGCACTTTTGAGAATGTCGATAATGTGGTTACTCTTATACCAAATGAAGGAGCACCAGTGATGGTCAACGGACAGAGAGTCGAAAAGCCAACTCGCTTGAGAAGTGGTTTCAGAGTTATTCTTGGCGACTTTCATATCTTTAGGTTCAACAATCCAACCGAGGCTCGAGCGGAACGCGCAGAGCAGAGCCTTCTGCGGCACTCTGTTACTGCTAATCAACTAGAAACTTTTAAAGATTGGGACAAATTCTCGCCCACATCTACCCCTCGGCCAACCCATGATCGAACATTCAGCAAAGCTATTTCCGATCTCGACTTTGATGGTAGTAGTCGTGCAGACTCTCCAGTGCCTGGGCGGGGTCTTTCTGATTGGTCATTAGCTAGACGTGAGGCAGCTGGAGCTATTTTAGGAACCGATCAAAAGATTGCAGGTTTGTCCGATGAGGAGCTCAATGTATTATTTGAGGATGTTCAAAGAGCAAGGGCTGAGCGTGCAACTGCAAATTTAGAGGATGATCTAGACTCGGTAACCTCGTATCCTATGCGAGAAAAGTATCTTTCAAACGGTACTTTGGATAACTTCTCTTTGGACACTGCACTTACCATGCCATCAACACCCAAACAAGGAGAAGTCGAAGATAAAATGCGTGAAGTTAGAGAAGAAATGCAAGTCCAGTTAGAGAAGCAAAGAGAAGAATTCCAGGAACAACTTGAGACAGCTAAAACCTCAAATGTCGAGGTTGAGGAAATCAAAAAAGAAAAAGTGAGAATGGAAGAGACTCTCAGAGAAGTTAAAGAGGAGATGCTCAAGCAATTGGAGGTTCAACGAAAAGAATATGAAGAGAGATTACAAGAGTTGTCCCCGGTTAAATCGGGACCAGATGGACCACCTCCACTATCAGAGAGAGAGATTGTGATTGCCGAGAAAGTTGCAAAACACTGGCAAGGACGAAGATATGTTCAAATGGCTGAGGCTGTATTTCGAAATGCAGCAATCTTGAAGGAAGCCCAAATAATGAGTCATGAAATGGATGAGAATGTTGTTTTTCAATTTGCTGTTGTTGACATAGGGCACGCTTTATGTTCTTCTTATGATATGGTTCTTAATGATATAGAGGGAGATGATTTTCATCTAGAAGATGCAACAAAACCTTGCATCGGCGTACGGGTAATAGACTTCAGGAATAATGTGGCTCATCTATGGAGTCTTGAGAAACTTCAGGATCGTATCCGGAAGATGAGGCAAATGCATCAATACCTTGATCGACCAGAATACCTTCAACACTTCCGACTCGACAATCCTTTCATGGAAACTTGTATGCCGCAGTATACACACGTTGGAGATGTTGATGTCCCTCTATCAGCAGTTTTTGAGAGTCGAGTTCAGGACTTTACTCTTGATGTTCTTTCACCATTTACGATGCATGCTATTGGTATCATCAAGCTCTCATTGGAACCATCGTCAGCAAAAGCCCCTTCGAACACCCTGAAGTTTAATGTTGTTATGCATGAAATGATAGGATTTGCTGAGCGGGAAGGGACGGAAGTCCATGGTCAATTGTTTATACCTCCCGCTTCAAATGAAGGTGGCGTTACAACGACCCAGATGATTAAAGATTTTGATGAAGGTCCAATCCGATTCGAAAGCGTGCATAGTATGAGCGTTCCAATGTTTGGCCCCACAGATGTTTCTCTTCGTGTGGCCATCTTTGCCAAAGTTTCATCAATGCATTTGGATAGACTTTTAAGTTGGGACGATATGCGAGACAACATTCCCCAACCAAAGAAAAAGCGCAAGGGTGCTCGTATATCAGAGTCGCAGTTCTATTCTGAAGAGAAACATGATGTGTTTGCTAAAGTTCAAATACTGGAGTTGGCCGAAAATGGCGATTATCCAGCAGTTGAAGTGATTCAAACGAGTGAGCTTGACCAAGGAACATTCCAACTTCATCAAGGTTTGCAACGTAGAATTGCTGTTACTTTGACGCATAATTCTGGTGATGCTTTACCTTGGTCGGATATCACTGGTTTACGCGTGGGACGAATTCAACTCGTTGATCACATTGGGAAAAGTCCGGATCTCAGCTCTCCTTCGACCCCTCCCCTTTACCTCAAATTGCTTTCAAAGCCCATTGTCAAAGCAAATGCAAACGGCACCAGCAATGTTTGTATCGTTGGAAAATGGGATTCGAGTGCTCATGAATCTTTACTCCTTGATCGGGTAACGGCAGACAAATACAAAGTTCAAATGTCCCTTTCATGGGATGTCAAATCAGAGAAATTGTCTCGTCCAATGACTTTCAATATGGATATTTGCTCTCAAATCATGTCGCGCAATTATGTTCGTTCTACATCAATGTTCGCATCATTATTCCAAAGTGTACGAATTGTTCATTCTATGACTAGTATTTACTCTATCTCTGTTCGTCCAGTGGCCGTAAAAAGAGTGAGTGATCTGTGGAGAATGAATACATCGGAAGATTATGTTAAAGGGGAAGAAGCTCTTACGAACTGGACACCGAGAGGTATTAGTTTGGTTAAGGATTTTATTTCGGCGAGGAGAAAGAGACAAAGACTGGCAGAAATCGATGCTGCTCAGCCTTTATTGAGACGTATCGCATCGACACCAGTACCAGTATCAATACCCGTTCCTTCAATTCCACAGGTTATCGATCGAGATCCAGCCGACATACCACTTCCTATCAGTCCGCCAGCTACTAAGGAAAGTTTCCCATCTCCATTATCGATAGATGAGGTAACCCCATCATCTGTTGATGGAAATGCTCTAGGTATACACGGGGACGGTCAATTCAATAACGAAATCACAGAAAAGACCGATTCTGCCATCGGCACTGACTCTACCCCTCATGATCTAAGTCAAGAACAAGAAAAGTTCCTGAATCCATCCGAATACAACCCACATCAAACCGCTCTTCTTGAAAAGTTTACTAAATACTTCCAACTCTGCCGCGATCCATCAACAACTATCCTTACACCAACCAATATCGAACCACCTATCAATGGTTCACCCGCTCCATCTCTCCTCCACACAGCCTCTTTCACATCCTATACTTCCCGCTCAAACTCACCCCGCCCATCGAATTTCTCAAATTCACTCCACCCATCCACCGCCAACTCCCGCCAAACATCTCGATCTCGTCAAACCTCGCCCGTTCCACACGCTCATCCTACCCCATCCATACCTCAGCATCTCGCCACTATTTCTCAGATCAAAAAGAATCCTAGTGTGCTCAAAGCGGGAATGCTTTTAGTTCCTTCAGCGGATAGTACGAAATGGATACGCAGATTTGTAGAGCTCAGACGACCGTATCTGCATGTTCATGCGGTTGCGGGTCCGAATAGTGGGGAGGAGGTAAATGTGGTTGGACTGAGAAATGCAAGGGTGGATCATAGTCCTGAGATTGCGAAATTGTTGAGAAATGAAAGACAGGGTGGGAGCGGGAACGCGAGTAGAAATGCAAGTCGGAATAGTAGTCCTGCTGATCCGGGTGCGGGTGCACAGCAAAGTTGGAGTAATAACGGCATAGGAGGCATTTATGGGTATGGAGGCCGAGGAAGGAGCGGAAGTGGAAAGGGCATGGGAATTATGGGCTATGGGGGGAGAGGAAACGCTAATGCTGATGGAAATGGTAATGGAGAGAGCAGAAGAGAAATAGAAGAAACGGTATTTGCAGTCTACGGAACAAATAACACGTGGTTATTTAGAGCGAGGAGCGAGAGGGAAAAGGTAGAGTGGATTTGGAAAATTGATCAGGGCTATTTCTCTGGAGGTGGTGGCAGAGGTGGCAATGGGAGTGGAAATAATAGTAGAGGGAGGAGAGATGATGGGAGTGGAGATAGTGATAATGTAGATGGAGAGGGAGATGTCGATGTGGATAGAGAGGATTATCTGGCGGATTAATCGTAATATAATGTTACCTCTCTATTGATGACATTTTTTGAAATTTGGAATGAAATTGAGTGGTGGGCAGGTGAATATACATATGAATGGGAAGCAGAGGTCCACCCCCTATGTCTATAACTCACTCGCTCACTCTCCAGGGACGAATAAAATGAAATAAATCAGATGATACCCACCCCAAAGTTCAAACTCATTCATCAAACACCACATGAACACATCCTATCAATACAAAATCACAAAATCAAAGCGAGAGTCAAAAAAAAGAACTTTTTATTTCTTCCTATCCCCCAACTACTTACTACTGGCTTCCCAATTCCTCGCTTCCTCCTACCCCTGTCCTCGTTCTCGAAGAGGGGGGTTTTCTTTCTTCACCCCACTATATCCATCCATCTCCATAAAATATTTTAATTTAATTGTATACCTCTTCCCCATCCCTCATCAAATCATTCATTCCGAACGCCAACCAAAGACTAGTAATTATAGAGAGCGAGAAAACAAAAAGATGTTTCAAAAAATACAAGTAAAGAATTTGAGATACTGTTTCTCATCTCATCTCAATTCATCCTATCCCTCAAAAAGATATCCCAGTACCATGCCATTATCTGCTGTCACTATTTCCCTCTTTGCCCTTACCACCCAATCCACGCATCAAGTAATGCACTTAATGTTTTCTCTTTTTCTTGGGTGCTTCTTCTTCATCCTCCAATCCACTTTCCATATCCTTTCTCTTGGCCTTTTTCTCCAATTCATCCCAATCCTCTCCCTCACTTTGTTCATCACTATCCTCTTCTCCTTCATCCTCACTTGCATTACTATCAAAATCACTATCTTCATCCGAACTTTCTTCCGTAGCCGCCATTTCATCATCACTTATTTCAAAAGCAGATTCCTCGTCTTCTTCATCACCGCCTTCATCATCTGATTCCGTTGCCAAGAAACCCCATCCACCATCCTCAAAGAATCCATGGGGATCGGCTGTAACGGTCTTCATAATTGTTGGCCAATTTAAATTGAGTGGACCTTCAGAAAACGGAATATTGACTGAATCTAACCATTCCTTGACATTTTCGAGTGATTCGACGGGAATGGTATTGATATGGTAAGGAGCACGGTGGAAGTCCTTGAAGACAAAGACCATATCAAAGTTCTTGAGTCCGAATTGAACACGTTCGAGATGAGCAATTTCGATATCCTCAAGAGTGATGACCATAAAAGGAGGTTCAGTGAGTTGAACTAAACAATCTGTGGAAGGTTGACAGAAAACGCTGGACCTATTTGGTACACCACCGAACCCAAGTTCACGGAAAGGCACGTCGACATCAACGTTCTCATTCTTACCAGCGTCGGCAATCTTCTCAGCAAATGCTTTGAATTGTCGATCGAGGTCAGCACGACGTCTTCGTTCTTCCTGTTCCGCTTCAAATTCTTCCTCGTCACCATATCTATACTTTCGCTTTCTGTTTCCAGTCTCATCGAATTGAATATCGGTAGCTTCGCGGTAAAATTGAACATCCTTGGTCTTCTTTTTACCAATCAGAATTGGATCCTTTAGATGTACATGAATGATGACAATCAATTCATGGTCACAAGGTTGGAAGAAGAGATGCTTGACATTGCTGAAAAGGATATCGACTCGGTGTTGAAGATTGAGAGGGGATTGATATCGAAGACCGTTCTGATGAATTTCAACCTTTCCAGGGACACGCTTACCATCCATAGCTGGACGAATAAAAACGTTGTCCATAACAATTGGACGACGATCTGGTTAATGTCAGTAAGATGTAAAAAAAAAGGGGGGGGGAATTGCTACAAGTCGCAAACTTACTTCGAATTTCAACCAACTTGTCCTGCTCAACAACATCTTCCATGTCTTTCTTCTCTTGTTCACGCTTAACAGCATCTTTCTTCATGTTACCAATTTGATTGGCAATGTCTTGAAATCTATCTCCATCATGAGATCTGAATGTCAAACTTCTAACAAAGTGTGCTGAAGCATCTTCGAATGGTTGATCGTCCTTTCTACCAACACCTTGACCAGGAGATAAGAAATTGATTCGGAGGTATGAGAATTCACCCTCGTCACTTTTACTGGCGTTCTTGATAGTTTGGATGTGGAAAGGTACTGGACGGCCCATAATGGGTAAAACAACGGTTGAGTTTTTTGCGTCCATGACAATAGCGAGATCTCTGATCTTTGGAGGGAATTGATTCTCACGCTTGTAAGATTCAAATCGCTTGAATTTCTTCACAGCAACACCATTTTGATCACCAGTGGCTTCAGCAAACCTTGCAAGACCTTCGGCTTGTTTTCTTTTTGCGAGCTCTTTTTGATGCTCACGCCTCCTGGCTTCGGCACCTTCGTCTACCTGAGTTGATCGCTCACCCCGAAGTTTTGTCTTGGTGATATTTTTGGCTGCAACAGCCCCAACACTCGAATCCTTCCTTGCCTTGGTAGCTTTTGGTTCTGGTGCGGGCTCATCTTCTTCATCCTTGAAGAAAAATGAGGTCGCATCAAGTTCCGAGGGGGCATCGCCTGTGAAAATAACAGGTTCCGCCTGAGTGACACGAACAGTATCCGACAATACCAAGGAGTAGATTTTACTCTTCTTGTCTTGAGGATCTTTGTTCTCGATATCATTGAATCCTGTAGTGACACAAAGAGTCATTCCGTCTTTTAAGCTGCGAGTGCTCTTGGCATTCAGGAGTAAAGTAGGGTCCCTTGTTTCAATACCGATTCCAGCTCCAACATTCTTCAAGAAGTGCTTCTCCAACTCAGGTTTTTTGGTTCTGATGAGGGCTAAAGCTTTGGCGTAGATATCCTTGACATGAACGCCATCCCGAATTTCCTTCATAACAAGGTTGTGAACCTGTAATAAGAATTTATAGTTGCTCTCTTGGGATTTGTTTGGATCGACAAGATAAGTTCGTCCAATTAAGGAGCAGTAGGTTTTGTATCGAAGACCCATAGAACAAATGATGACACCAGCATGTAATAACTCATCATCGACTTGAGCACTCATCTTCAAATCGTACTTTCCACCACTTTGTATGATAGGTCCATGAGTCCAGTCCAATTGTGATGAATCGAAGTCATTTGGCATCCTCTGTTTATTAGGAAGCTCCACGGAAGTCCAAAACTTGGCGTCGTCCAATTTACCATCCACTTTGTTGGCCAGGGCGCTATGTTTGACTTTTTTCTCCTCATCTAAAATACCTGACATTTCCTCGACGAAGTATGGGTTCATGAGTGCGGTACATGCTTTTGAGGAATTTCGCATAGCGCGCTGTGAAATTATTAGCATAAGCCAGTTCTTCCACCTCGTAATTAGTGTCTTACCAATTCATTCTCATCTTTTACTGCCAGAGCTGCAGAAGATAAAGCTGGCGCAATATCTACTTCTTCAACGTCCTTGATTTCGGTATAGATTTTCTTCCACTCATCGATAAAAGGGCCACTTGATGTATCTTTTGGTAGAATTCCAACTTTCTTCTATAAACAGAAATTTGTTAGACTGTTCTTTTTGCGCATAGTAATGTTGGTCATGGCTCACCCCTGATGATTTAATGACATCTGCGATCTTTGTGAAAAGCTTCTCGTTAGCTGCTGCATCTTTGCCTCTAACCAAGACCTCGAGAGGAATCTTTCCACCTTTCAAAGGTTCCAAATGTTTCGCTATTCCAATTCCAATATCAGCTTTCAATTTTTTGACGCACATAGAATGGAGATTCACACACCTTTCTTTGCCGTCGTCACAATGTATAAAGAATCGACTGTGAAAAGGAAGAGCGTCGCAGGAAACTCATAGCCTAATAGCCAAAACTATTTCTTCATCAGCATTCGACCTCCCCTCCATTGCAGTTTTCTCGTGAAGCGCTTCGCAGGTGTTTAAACTCACATGAATTGCATTATTTTTCTGGAAGCTTGCCACATCCTCCGTTTTCCCCATTAACACCAGGATACTATTTGCGCCATTGAAAACCGCGTCGCCGCCTCTCTTATCAGCTTTCCATGATGATATAAAGTGTGATAATCGTTCCTGAAACAAATTCTTGTCAATTCTGATATCCACCATGATGACTTTGAATATTTGTTGATGGTATAGAATTGAAGTGGAGTTTGTTGAAGAAAGAGACAGAAGATATAAAAGAGGAGGACGCGATAGTCGAAAACTCGCGTTGATTGAAATTGAGAAATTGCGTATGTGGTCTTTAAGGGTTGATAGAATTGTTGTCAAAGTAATAAGCTTTGATAGCTACATCGATAAGAGATTGTTGACGAAATCTAACGCCGTACTCCTTTTCAGCCTCATTAACCTTTACCATACATAAGGCTGCATGAAAGGCTAGCAGCCGTACATCGCACAGCTATGATAGATTTGCATGTTCTACTGACCGTCGTCATATTCCGAGGTGATTGCATCTTGTATTCGTTTGAAATTAAGTCTTCCAACCTTTCTATCTCTAGTCAGGTCTTCTAAAATCGCGTGTGGTTTCTAGCTTCGCTAGCAACATAAAATAAGATATATGGACGGTATCTCCCTATTTATTAATTAATGATTCAACCAAGCTTCATGAAATCAATTTTGGGTTTATCGTTCAAGTGCAATTGGGCATTAAAAGCTATATCAATAAAAATGTACAAGAGAAGTTTATTACTGCGACTACTATACGAGCTACCCATGCTCTTATTTTAATATCTAATGCTACCATGGGCACTTCCAAACATCCGTCTAGATGACTGGGACCGAAGTCATTCGGTATTGTTATACATGATATATAACCGTTCAAAAGATACCCTTTGATTAGGTTAGCAGCGAACTAGGGTCGATCAAATTGATGGGAATAAGGCGGAACTTACTGGAATGAACAGATATGGAACCAATCTTTCGTACTCCTCCCAAGCCTCTCCATATCTCTCCCGGCACTTTTGAATATCTCTGTAAGCACGATGAGAGATCATACCGGCAAAGAAGACACAATAAAACCAAGGGAATGGACTCTCAAAGCCAGTAATGAGTCCCCAGCAGAAAGCAAAGAAGAAATCGCAAGTGTAATGAATTTTGCGAGCCTTTCCGTACCAGCCATCAGCCAAAATTGAGTCACCAGTTTTGGTTTTGATGACACGTGGGTTCATAACCTCCTTCCATGGCAATTGAGGGAATGCTTTACGATCTGTGACAGTTCCACGTTCACGAGATCTGAATCTGTTCTTTTGACTGTTGGTGGTATCCCAGACCCAGTATACGAATAGGTACGATGTGTATAAGAAGAAAAGGAAGTACTTGTTCCATGCGTATTCAGAGGGTGGGTGGTTGGCCAAATAAATTGTGCAGTGGCAGTAACTGAGAGGAACTCCCGCGAGATTCCAGAAAATCAACATGAAGCCCCATTTCTCATAGTACATATCCCTAAAAGATTTAGTAGACTGTTTTAGGGTGTGTACAGGGATATGCATACCAGGTTGTGATGATTAACTCCTCTCCTTTAGCACATGCATTTGCGTACAAAAAGTGAGCCATGATCAAGAATCCGACTTCACCTGATACATAACCATATTGTTCATATTGCCTTGCAGCAGCGGCACAGGAAAGACCAAAGAGAATGAACCAAGGTAGACGAACTTCAAAGAACATTTTGAAATCCAAGATACCGAACATTCTTGGATTCAACTCGGCCCCCATGAAGAAGTCATAAATTGGATAGCCCGTCATTCGGTGTTGAGCTCCACGTGCCAAAGCCGAAAAATAAGCAACAATTGAGACCAAAAACCCGGAGCAAATGGCTACCGACATTATTGGTCCAAACTCATCTAAGAGAGTATAAATTTTGAAAATTTCCAAGTAGTGCAAGACAGCCCCAGTGATGATAGTGAAATAGAAAGACCAAATTCCAGAGCAATAGTATTTCAATTGCTTACCTCCCTCATGAGGAAGCGGTTTACCATAACCCCAAACTCCTGGCATAAAGCAATACAAGAGAGCCTCAAAGACAAAGAAAACCCAGTAGATTTTCCAGGCACGAAGACTTGGGTATGCCCCTGTGTAGACGAGATCGCCCATATGCTTGACAAAATCGAGGAATTCTTGACCTGGATCCGGTGTGGGAAATTTTCCATCGTAGTAGCTTGCTCCAATCCACATATACCACATGAGACAAGGGAATCCAATCATCATAGCACTGACGCCGAAAGAACCACCAAAATCGAAATGGCCGGAAGCATCAATCTTAGGATCATTTGTAACCTTTGTTGATTTCTCATTGACTGCCTTCTCTTCGGTTTCGCCCTTGACATTTGCGCTCCCACTCTTCAATGATTCGATCGTATTAGAGTCATTCAATGCTGAAGTGAAGCCATTGATTGCTGCACCATTACTGACATGATCGTTGGTTGTTGCTGTCTCGACCATATTGACTTTTCTACTCGAGGATCTCATCCTGGATGGCGGATTATCTGTTGCGGAGGAAGAATCGTCTGCGTCTTCTTGAAATTGTGACTTTCTCTGGCGACGGATTCGTGGAGTCTCGACGAAGCCAGCACGTTCCGTTTTTCTATATAGATTGTTAGATTTCTCTCTCCGATGAAAAGAGAACAGAAAAGATAACAGCGTGTACTTACTTCGGCGTCTGCCGCAAAGAATATCTTTCGCGTCCTTCAGACATTTTGTAATTTCGGAACGGAACGATAGTTGGGGCAAGTATAACCCAATAATTTACCGCATATAATTTCAAATGAAGCGCTTGTAAGGAAAGTGCTATAATAGAAGCTCAAAGATCATGATTCCATACGCGTACAAGAAAAAGTGTCAACAAAATTATGAGAATCAAATCAGACTCCATTTTACATTGGGAATTATTTTAAATTAATATTTGTTTACTAGTTCCCGTTTCCCATTTCTGTCGAGCCACTCAGAAGCCATACATTGAGTCGGATTGATCTTCATTTATCCCCTGTGACTCCCACGACTCCTTAAAATAAAGCCTTCGAGAATCGAGTAGCCCTAGGTAGTAAAAGATAGGGATCCTAATTGACAAATTACGTTTTTACATAAGTTTAATAAAGGGGCAAGGATAGTAATGCGTATGGGTGTGCCTACCACCTATTAACCTTAAGTCACGAATACGATAGTTATCGATAATGGTATTTAGTCAGGTAGTATTGAATAGACGTATTCAGTGTATAATTATGTAGCTATTAGATATGTGTTAGGTGATTAATAAGTGTATTAAGTGTTGTCTAGGTAGGTAGTGACAACAAATAGTTGCGGGGCTATTTGCCTCAACCAACTCATCGATTCAAACATAAGAGGAATAGTCGAAACATTGTATTACCAACCAGACGGACGTATGATGCTTCATTAATCTTCATACCCAGGCTCGACAGGTGGGCAGCTCAACATATTCGGAGTTGTGTTTCACTCTATGCATCCCAGCTGAGTTCAACACAAAAAAAACATCATGTGACTAGTTGTTCATCGCTAGTTTTTGATTGCTATGGTCGGTTGTGAATAGCCATTAAATATTATACATAGAACTTCCTCATAACATATACTGTATTTTGCGCGCCAATTCCCTCCCTAAACATGCGCCAACCGCTCATGCCATAGAAATGATGCCAAAATTCGGAAGTTATCCGAATAAGTAATGTACAAGAAAGTTGCAATGCATCTTTTGTTAACCCTAATATAAGACTAGGTCAACCGCCCATCCAAAGTTTCGTTGCTGATTTGCGAAATATGGATACCTGACTTTCGAAAAGGACCGCACATTCAGCACGAATCATCTCTCTTCTCGTCATTTCATCTCATTTTCTCGTAATATTCATCATTTTGAGAATCAATCATGACATCCCACTCAATGACCTGTCCGGCTTCCTTCATCAATCATCGCCGTCCTCTTCATTCTCCTATCAACCGTACCCAACCCTATCATTACACCAATAAGACCCTCATACTTTCTGATAGAACAAAAGATACGCGACCTTGTTATCCATGAGTGAGGATTTACTAGCCCCGTATCCAGTGGCAGGTTTGGACTTTGGTGTGGAAGCGCCATTCAATACGCTTGACCATTTCTTTCCAGATCCACTGGCTTGTTTCCATCCATCCTCTTCAGTCCCTCCATTTTCTTCTCCAATTGAAGCAAAAATGTTTCCCGACGATGAACTATCCTTCTTATGAGCCTCTAAAGCAGCAGCCAAAACCTTTGGATCTTCTTCGCTTCCTCCTTCAGCTACATCTTCACTTCTTACACGCTTGATGACAGTGTCATCGAGTCTGATCCACTCCTTTCCATCTTGTCTTCTAACGTCTACAGTATAGTGTCCACCGCTGGCATTTTTACCGTGGTGATAGACAACGCCGATGAGACGATACTTTGGATATCCATCATGAGCAAAAACAGTACGCTTAGTTCTTGGGAAGACTTCCTTTGGTAATTCGAGTTCCAAAGGATATCCAACCTTCTTCCAAATCTTTTGTGTACCGCCGGTGTTGTCGTATTGGAATCGCTTCAAGTGTAAGATGAGGACAGGTGGTACTGTCTCAATGAACACTTGCTTTGTCGCGGTTACGTTGGGACCCTTTGGGGACTTGAAATCACCATGAAGAACCTCTGAATGTGTGAGACCTTTCAAGGCATCAACGATGTTATGAATATCCGGAGAACCGATATCAAGCTGTAATGGCTGATATGGCTCAAGAGTAATGGAGTCTTTCAAGCCTGGTACACGCAATTCGGACCTCAAGCTACCACCAAAGATTTTCGTGACTGGAGAGCCAGTATTAGTTCCAGAAGATCTTGTAATGGCAGCTTTTTGTTTGGGTCCAACTTGTTGCCATACATCATCAACAGACCCGCGTCGACTCGCAGTATCGCTGGTAGGAGATGAAGGTACGTTCATGGGTGTGGTGACAGCCGAATTTTTGCTCGAGTCACTTGACTTCATGACATGTACACATTCATCATGAAGCCCTTCAAGTAAAAAGCCAAGGAATTCTTCCGCATCTTGTTGATGTCCTCTCTATGGCATATATTAGTAGATTCAAAGTCAAAGGATACACTCAAACTAACCTGCATTGTGACAAATCTCGGTAAGCGTCGCATAACATCATAGACAAAATCTGGCGTGAAAGAATCTCCGTATTGCTCAAGTTCTCCGTCCTTGAGTCTCATTTTGAGTTGCTCAATTGATTTTGCAGAATCAATAACTGAAAACTCCCGCATAAACATAATCCTTGTAGGCTGTTAGTGACAATCACACAAAACGCATTGTTGGTACTTACATGGCATCAATTAAAGGTGTTTGACTCTTAAAGCTATGCGCTGCTTTCTTGCTAACTTGGTCAAGAAAATCATAGAAAGGGGTACAGAAAACGAGAACTTGTAAAACCGAGTTCATATAGCACATGTTACCAGTGTTCACTAGACCTCGAGGCTCAAGAAATGATATTTTGGGGTCCTTGGCTTCGGCCTTAAATGAACGCAATGCTTCAGCTAATGATTCCGAATTATTCTTGCCGAATTCGGCGGATCCATTCTGTCCACCATTGACAGTGGTAGGGGCCGTAGGAGCACCAGCTGAACCAAAAAGGCCAGTCCAAGCTCTTGGTGTAGCCCATGCTTTAGGAGGGGGAGGTGTTGCCTTAATTTCTTCAGTAGTAGGGCCATTGGCTTCATTCTCATTCGTTGCTTCGGACTTGGTCAGTTCTCCCTCAGCTGCAACTTCGCCATTGGTAGTTTGAGAATTCGTCGATGGGGTACTTTTGGGTAGAGATTTTGAAATGGCACGTATGGCAGGAACAGCAGGGATAGCAGGGACAGTAGCTCGCTGGGATTTTGTAGCCACAGGAGTCACTTCTCCGCCTGCAGGTAGAGACGAAGCTTTTGTAGAAGATGGAGTAGTTGGCACTGTAGATTCAGTGTCTTCTGATGGACCTTGGGTAGTAGTGGGTGTTTCAGGTGTAGACTCTGCAGCTTCTTCGGTGCTCGGCTTTTGTTCTGACGATGATTCTGACGTCTCCGCGCTCTTCTTCGACGCAGGATCAATTTCCTTGTCTAGACCTGGAAGCTCCACGGGATTCATAGACAACTCTGGACTCTGCTTCCTTTTCCGACGCCGCCTGGTCGGCCAGGGTGCAGTGGTGTTGGGGGATATCCATGGCAGCTAGTTGTGATGTCAGCAATTGAGTAATGCGTTTTTAAGAGTATAACATACAGGTGCCTGAAAAGGTATGTAGTGTTTGGGAGCTGGAGGTGGAGACTGAGCAAGAGGTTGTATTTGTGGAGTTGGCGGCGTAAGAGGTCCTGCAGAAAGGGTGGTGGACGATTGTGTTGAGAAGCTCGAGGGAGTTTGAGGTAGTGGAGGCGCAGGAGCTGGCTGATAAGACGACGCAATTACTGGCGGGTGAGAGGCAGCAATAGCAGGAGATGGCTGAGGTCGAACGAAAGGTGGTGCTTGGGGTTGAAGCGGAGGTGGTGGTGGGTGAGTATAATGCGTCATCATTGGCGGAGGCGAACGACCGTAGTGTTGGTATGGGTTATACTGTTGATTCAAGCCATTATTATAATATTGAGGAGGCAATGGTTGTGGATGGTAATAATTCGCGTTGTACGGGTGCATGTACCCATTGTACAGAGGTGCCGCCGGTGGATATGGTTGAGCTTGATGACTATAAGGTCTCCGTCTTCCCAGGTCTTGTTGCATACCTTGCCCTGCCGGCAGATGACGACCGTTCATCATGCCGGCTTGCTGAAGTTCGTTCTTTCCAAACCTACCTTGTCCAGGTTGATTTGGATTGGCAGGAGCTGTCGCGCGAAACTGATGATGGCTCTTCGTTAGATGGGGGGAGCTCTCTTGAGTGTGTTCTCCAAAGTACTAGCGCATTAAAGAGAAAAGATATCTCTATATTTAAAAAGCGCGCGATGGCAGTACCTTTAAAGATAAATCTGCATAAATAAAGCTATTGATATAACTATTATTGAAATATATGTCGTTGTGTTATAAAGTTGGATTTGGGGTAAGTAGATTTCTGAAGTCCTCCAAAATTATGGAGATCAAAAAAGAAGATGACTGAGCCAAAAAAGCGAGAGCCTTGCCAAGACTTTTTGCCCCCAAACAAACCACAGAGGAGCGTACCTATGTAATCTTGACCTAGCTGGAGTCCCTGGAACAAATTAAACTGGCTCTCTTTGTATGCCGACCAGAACGATATGAGAAATGATTCATTAGATATTGCACGTGAGGTGGAAATGTACATAGTCTTTCGAACTAAAAATGTACCTAGGTAATGAATGAATGCTTTGAAGTGAGCTCCAATATATCCTCATGAATTTGATATCTTCTTCATGGACTCATAGACTCAAACATGTACCTAGGTAGAGAGCGTATGACGAACGATCTAATTGCGCCTCGTGTCTCTAACGTTCCCCTATAAGATTACCGATAACATTGAGGGAGCTTTCAAATCGCCCCTCATCCTCATTAAGTGATTGATCTGGAGTGACTCTTCCTGTCCTCTATCAATAACGTCCTTGTGGCGCTTGAAATCTTCTCCAAAATCAACTACCTAGATCTTTTTTACTATTCATAGTCCTTACTCTCCCATTCTTAGGGTTCAATCGTTCTACTCTAGCTTTGTATTTCATACTTTTCGACCACAGCTATTCACGCATATCAAGAGCCATTGTCTTATCCGAAGGACCGACGATTATCAAATCGGATCTGATCGAGAACATTGTGCACCAACTCTATCCAGCAACCAAATGTCACCTTAGGACATATAAAGATACACTATTCGGATCCATTTTATATCATCTGATACTTCCCTCTTTACACATTCAACTCAACTCCCAGCTCGAGAGACCATTTGATTATCAAGCCTAGGCTGGAACATTGAGAAGTCTCTATATCTAAAGATTTTGAACTATGAACCCCGTTCAGCAAAGCGCGTCATCGCCTGGTGGAAAATCTCTCAATACCGCACATAATCCCACTCAACAACAGCAGGGTCAAATTACATCTCCAAGTTTCGAGTCAAATACAAGGCGCTCTGGTAGTCAATCGAGTGGTGTATCTGCGGCTGCTAGAAACAATCAAAGTCAACGAAAACAACATAGAAATTCCAAGAAACCTAGGCTCGCGGATGAGGATGCTATGGCGGAATCCGTAAGTCGTGCATTTCTTCACCTTCCCATTGTTTGCATTCATGTTCCAGCGGTAGATTGCAAGCAATCAGCACAGTACAAAAGATCCGTTTATCGCAGACCATGAGGATATTTCGTTTTCACAAGTAGATTACAGACAATCAGTAGTGCTAATACTGCTAGGCGGCTATGAGAAATGCCAATAGTCGAAGAGGGCAAACATCAATTACACATCTTATGAGCTTTGCTCTTCCTCCTAGGCCACAGGATTATCGAAACACAATCGCAAGAGGAACAAGACGTGGGAATATATATGGAATTGGATCTGGCCATCATTCGAGTGATAAGGCGAGGTATATTCACGCAAATTATCGATTTATAGTCAGGCCAAATGGAGATTATAAGCAGCAAGCTCTGTTCGCAGACCAACCTTTAGACTGGAATGACGTTCTTCAAATTCTCGCATCTGCCGAATCACAAGACACATCATGTCCAATCTGTCTCTCGCATCCTGTAGCTCCTCGAATGGCAAAATGCGGACACATTTTTTGTCTACCATGTCTTATTCGCTACATGCACTCAACCGACGACACAAACCCTCTACCGGAGAAAAAGGCTCGATGGAAGGCATGCCCAATCTGTTGGGATACTATCTATAGCTCAGAAACTAGACCCGTTAGATGGTATATCGGACAAGAAGGGCCGGCCCCTCGTGAAGGAGAAGATGTTGTATTACGATTAGTTATGCGACAACCTGGAAGCACTTTGGCACTGCCAAGAGATGGTGCGGATGTACTCGATAAATCGGAAGATATTCCATGGTATTTCGCTGCCGAGGTTACGGATTATGCACGAATCATGAAAGGAAGTGAGGAATATATGATAGAACAATTTGGATTGGAAATCGAGGCATTAAAACAACAAGAGAATGAAGATGAACTGATGTTTGGGGAAGAGCCCGAGTGGACTCGGAAAGCGGTAAATTCCGTAAACGATGCGAAGGAGAAAGTAAAAGGTATTGGTGGACCACCTCCTCCACCAAGTCAGCCAACAGAGAAGAAGCCTAAAAGGCAACCCATCCAGTTCAATCCTGTCGATGAAAATTCTCCAGAGATGTATTATGTCCAGCAAACCTCCACGCTATCTCCATCAGCTGTTCCTTTCCAATTGGACTCGACAGTGACTCCACCACTACCTTCGTCCCATCCTGTTCCAATCTCAGATCCTTCACAATCCCACTCAGAGAGCATACAACAAAACGACAGGAAACTACGTCCAAAGAATGCCCAACCAAGCGAGAGACATTCAGATGCCCCATATTTATTTTATCAAGCTCTTCTTCATTATTATCTCGCTCCTCTCGATATCAGAATTCTGAAATCAGCTTTTGGAAACTTTGCATCATTCCCTTCAACATTACTCCCCCGCGTCGAACGCGTATCGACTCATGTGATGGATGATGAATTGAGAAAAAGAACCAAATATTTAGCTCATTTGCCATTTGGCTGTGAAGTAGGATTTTTAGAATGCAATTGGACTGATGTCGTTCAACCGGAAATCTTGAATCAGTTCAGAGAGGATATTGAGCGACGAAGGAAACGTAATAGGGAAAAGGAAGTTCGAGAGGAGAAAGATAGACAGCGTGCTGAGAAAGCAGAGGATAATGCACGTTGGGCCACGGCTAGACAGAAGCAACCCGAAATATCCCCGGCAAACTATTCCGATATCGATTACGCTCAGCTCGCATCAGCATCTATTGACCCGATCGATGCATCTCCTCCTTGGACTTCACGTCAAGGCTCTTCTTTCGGAGCATTAGCTTCCCCATCTACGAGCCCTCCTGCGCCAAGAACTGTTTGGGGAACAACATTGGTAACACCATCTTCGCCTGATCTTCATCCTCAGTACAATAGTAATGCGGATGACGGTTGGCTACCAGGTTGGGAACAAGAGCTTCAAGCAGAGAATGATTCATTAATTGCTCAAATTCAGGCGGCGTCCTTGAACGGAGAAAGTAGTTCAAGTGCTACACCTCCACCACCATCTCAAGGGAAGAAGAAAAAGGGTAAGAAAATTACATTAATGAGTACAACAGCTAGAAGAGCTGCATGATTGTTCGCGAAGATTGGAAGTATGTATTTTTTCGAAGAATTTGGCGTTCATAGTGATATCACTACAGAGACACGATGCAATATATTCATTTTCAATGTTCAACAAGATGCAGAATAAAGCAGGGTTTCCAATAGTCTGGATCGTATTCTGACAATGAAAATCATTTTATTCCTGAATTCCACCCGCCTGGGATTTTAAGACCATTTAAACATCGGAAATCTTCAAAGCAGTCCAATCATTGCAACCTTCAACCATCTGAGTTATCCAAATAAATTCACTTAATACATTGGATTATTATCAAGGACCTTCCTTCAAAGCTCACACCTAGTTTACTACTCTCGACTATTGGACACCCACACAACATGATGCTATGCAAGTCTGGTCTCATTCTTCATTTCGCACGGACGAAAAGGATTCTAGAAGTAAGTTCAATTTATATCAAGTGTTATGAGTGGCGTTTTGGAGGGTGTAACGGTTTCCTGGCATGATGTCAAATGCCAGGGTAACACAGTGATCTGCACCTCTTCCGGTATATTTTCAATCGTCACAGGTAGCACCCTCGTCTTTCATTCTTCTAGCTGCTTCCGTCAACGTCTCCTACGAGCTGAAATCTTTTTGTTGAAATCTTTACTTCTAAGCTAAAGAGGGGTCAGGATATCCCACTTAGATGTCTGTGTCGCTTAATAATCATCCCACGTCTTCATAACAATTCAACAACACGATATCTTTCTGTATTTCTCATGTTCAATATTGACTTCGGCGGTTTTATATGACCGAGTGGTCTGCCATACATTACATATCAATTGATTCAACAATTTCTTATGTGATGCAATGCACGGCCCGTACCGCGATAGGAAAACTTCCTGCAGCTCAAGTCTCGGCGCAGATCATTGTAGCAATCAACAAGTTGAATAGTCCTATCAACCATTTTTATCACCATCTATTATTATGTCAATGAAGAAATACGATATGGTTGAGCAACATGGAAAAGTTCAACCCTTTTATCACCCATTGCCAATTTTATAATCCTACTTCACTATCTATCTATCTTCACGAATTGTTCTCGCAAGCAACGTTACGAGAGTACTCCTAATGTTCTCGATTTTCAGGAATTTCTTCGTAGATACCGGGACGTTCCGGGCTGTTTCTATTTATATGTTTATTTGTATTTTTTCAATGCTTACGGAACGGGGACCTTGGAGCTTGTAAATCCGAACGTTTTACGATGTAACCTCAAGGTCGGTCGGTGTTGAAAGTCCGGTAAGATAGATTCGCTTAAGTCAGTCATCGTCAGCCACGTTCACAACCCTCACATCTTCACATTATTACCATGCAGTCATCATTATTATTGTTGTAGATAGGCTATGCTCTAGAACAATATATTGGGACACCCATCATATTTCAGGATTTGCAGAACATCTATTGAGTATGATTGAGATGCACTTGCGTATCATTTTCAGTTCCTAGTATTATATATACGCAGGTCCATCAATATCATCCGAATAACCTATCGGATGGTATTCGATGCTGAGATGATCAAATGTGGAAACACTTTTCCATTCTGTCAAATACCCTACTCGATACGAGATATATTGCTAGGGTCAAGGAGACACAGCTACGCAAAACCGAGTCCATGGGCTGAAAATAATCTTCAGCATGGTATGTTGATTTACAGAATTACTTTACTTGATTACCAGTGCGAACAAATCCCGCGGAATCGATTCGCTATTGTTTATCGAAATGCATGGATAACTGTAGAATGGAAACTTCCACGCCGCATTCAGTATGCAAGCTGGACATTGAGGTCAACATATGTATGGCTTCGATCTAATATACCTACGTCATCCTACTCATTTCCCCTCTCAATTACACATATTCAAATATCATAAAAGAATAAAAATCATGTAATTGATTCTGTCTTTGCTAGTGCAAGTTAACCACAATCTCGGAACCCGCCTCTTAACGCTCTCTGGTCTTGATATCGTTGAGAAGATATTCTATTGATACGAGGCTCTCGTGCTTCACAGCGTGAGTTCCAATCGGTCCGTGCTTTCACTTGTCAGGCTATCGTATAGAGTGGGAAGACACGAACTGCATATTCATGCATCTTACTGTGTTGCGTAGAGGAGGCGTCTGGAATGTATGTAAAGAACAAGGCTAGGTCCTTGTATAATCATGTTCTGTCGTATTACTCACAAAGATCGAGACGAAAGTTCATTCTTGATTCAACGTTGCTTGATATTTTGGTTTGGTAATGGTGCTGAGGGGCGAAGGTGAGAAGGGGTGAGATAAGATGTGAGAACTATAAATATTGGCGTTGGCTCTATGCTCTGAGCTTTCGATTATCCTCATCATACAATTACAACTTATATCCAACTACAATTTTATTCCACCGCCACTGCGATTGCCACATAATACTACACGGACTCATACATCAATATCACTATCATCAAACAACCAACCCAAACTATATCCTTACCTAACTCAATCAAAATGCTCTTCACAGTCCGTCTCCATCCTTTTCCCCTCCACTTCAATAAATACATACTAACAATCTTCAGACCATTCTCCCCCTCACTCTCCTCACCGCCGTCCTCGCTTCCCCGGTACCCGTCCCTGTCTCTACCTCCCCAATCTCCACATGCTCCACCCTCACCACCAAACTCGATTACTACCAAGGCTACCAATCCCCATCCCAATGCGGTATCAATGTTTCCTCAGGTAACATCACCGCTGGAGTTTGCGTCAATATCCTAACTCAAGGTATCATGCTTTTTCCGGCCGATACGGATTGCACCTATAGTATTTGGAAAGGAGTCACCGATTGTTCAGGTGGTGTTACTCAGACTTTTGATTTGGGAGTCGCGCAGCAGGGTGTGCAGAGTGTGGGAACTTGTGTTGGAACTGGGGTTATGGATGGAGGGAGATTTTATCATGCTAGTGGATTTTTGAGTTGTGGATGCAACTAGGCACCTCTATCTGAATATGCATAGGATTTGGAAGGCTGCGTCGGAACGGTGGAATAAGAGATGCGCTTTTATGAATCACAAGCGCAGGATTGATTTCGGATGCAAGGAATGATGGGAGTTATTGATGTCGGTTATGATTGATGGGCGGATTTTCGACATTTCCTTACGCTTGCCTGGGATGGATTGATGGAGTTACAGCTATAGACAAAAGTGGATGCTATGAATGGAACTTCTTTGCTCGCTTTCAGTATCCACGATCGTTTCGTGAATCAAATTGCCGTTTTCGTTTATCTTTTTGTATTTTAAACCGTTCGAAGCCAAATCAAGTTGAGTTTGCACACTATCGCACATCTTTTCCTTGTGATTTTTATGGGCTCCTTCAATTCTTGTAGCTGTGCAGTTCTACTAAATAAAGAACCCGTCACAATTATTCCGCCTCCACGGCAGTGGTCCCCGGAGGGCCAGCCCAGCATCATGGCGCATGAAATTAGGAATAGTTTCTTTCTTTTTCAATTCTCTATGGGAATGTGGCATATCGAGTAGTTGTTCTTGTCCCTTTTGGATGTTCCAACTTGTAGACTCGTGTGAGATGATCTCATTTGAACGGTCGTGTTGAGTGTCTCAGTAAACACATCGCTAGTGATTAATATATACCGTATTTCTTGTGCGCTACCCTTCATCCATCTCCCTCTAGCAAAGAAATTAGCAGAAGTTTTCATTTCATTCATTGCCGACGCGGATGAGTAGGGGCTAGGTAAGAAACCAACTTAAGGTCACGAGGAAATATAATCGCTACTCCACATTTCAACAACACATGTACCCCCACTCTCCCACTCTAGTGTTCTCTCGTAAAAGACTACCGCTCGCCTGATTTCTGGCAACGTCTCAGTACCTATCTAGAGATAACCAGCCGATCTAGCCAATCTCTACCAAGTTCGCGCGTAACCTTCCCCAATTGATTGACGGATAATTAGAGATTCGGCTAATTGACGCATAATGATGCAAGCAACCAAGAATCTTCATAATTTGCTATCGGAAAAGGGCGGGGTTGGGAATCTGGGGTCATTGAATTCTCCCCCAGTCGGGGGTTCAGTATAACCCGCGGGAACACTCCATATGTTAGCTTCGTATCTTCATCGTCCCGAAGTATTTCACACAAAACAAGGGGGAATTACTCAATTCATATAAATTTCAACGCTAATTGCCGACTTGCTCGCTTTTGCTTAACCGCTCGCTCATTGTCAAGTTTCAACGCCGATGAGGTGGAGACGAGGATTGATTTTCGCGCGTCTTTTGAGTTATACTTCATTGTTGGTATCACTACATAATCTATCTCGAGAAGTCACATATCGAGGGGCTTTTCACCATTTACCATTTTCCTTCTTCTTCTCTAGAAAATTAAGATAGGGAGACAGCAGAGCCATGGACCAAAACAAACAAGGGGAGGGAGAAGTAACTCATCTCGAGGGTCCTCCAGTTCAACAAGGCAACCATCAATTCGACACCCTTTCTCCGCAATCTTCCTTGCCAGCATGGAAGCCCTCGCAGAGGAAACAACCAGAGGGTGACACAGCTCTTGCTTTATTCCAAGATACGGAACAATTGCATCAAGCGGTTGATCCCGTTCAAGAGAGGAAGTTGATCAAGAAAATCGATATGGTCATTTTACCTTGTCTAGCTGTCTGCTACATGTTCTACTATGTATGTTGTTCTTTTCACCCTCATACTGTGCTTTTCTACCCTTTTTTAAAATAACAAAAACAATTGCCAATACCACTTTAGATCGATAAAACCACTCTTTCGTACGCCGCCATCTTTGGAATAAAAGATGATCTTCATCTGGAAGGGACGAAATACTCCTGGCTTTCAAGTATTTTCTATTTTGGCTGGCTCGCCTGGGCCTTTCCCACCAATTATTTGATGCAGAAGTTTCCGGTCGCGAAATACCTCGCTTTTAATATCTTCATGTGGGGTGCTCTTCTCATGTGTCAGGGTAAGATTTCCTTTCCCTTTTGCATCTGAGGCTAGAACTCTCTTCCTCGTGATTCATATCACCAACATTCAATAGCCGCCGCACGCAACTTCACCGAACTCGCCGTTCTCCGCGCCCTCTCCGGTGCCGCAGAAGGCTGTAGTGATTCCTCGTTCATGATCATCACATCTATGTGGTACACGCGACGCGAACAACCCATCCGAATCGGTCTCTGGTATTCCGCCAACGGTGTGGGTATTGCACTCGGAGGGCTTATTGGCTACGGAATTGGAAATATCCGCGGGTCTTTAGCGTCGTGGAAATATGAATTTTTGATCGTCGGTGCTTGTTGTTGTATTTGGGGAATTGTTTTGTGGATTTTCTTACCTGATAGTCCTGTTACGGCAAGGGTGTTGAGTATTGATGAGAAGCGGATGGCAGTGGAGAGATTGAGGGAAAATCAAACGGGAGTGGAAAATAAAACCTTCAAATGGAAACAAGTAAAAGAGTGGGCGGGGGATTATAAAACTTACCTGTTCTTTTTGATTGGACTTGTGGCGAACATTCCGAATGGAGGAATTAGTAATTTCGGTACTTTGATCATTAAAGGATTTGGATACTCAACTTGTAAGTTTCCCCTGTTTTTCTTCTCACCCTTTTCTTCTTCTTCTTCTTCTTCTTCTTCTCGATTATTGTCAATACCCATAAATGAAGATATAAATCACAACTAACAAACAAAAGTGATAACAACCATCATGCAAATTCCCTACGGTGTCCTCATTGCCCTCAGCATCCTCCTCTGCGTCTTCCTCAACGATCGCTTACCTCCCAACAATCGCTGTATCATGATCCTCATCTTTCTCCTCCCCAACATCACTGGCGCGTTCGGACTTCAATTTCTTCCTCAGACTCAGCAGGTTCCTCGTCTCATAATGTATTACCTCACCGGACCCTACAATGCCTCTTTCGTATTATTACTCTCGGTATTGTCAGCTAATACCGCGGGACATACCAAGAAAATCCTCACGAACGCGACGCTTTTTGTAGGCCTTTGCGTGGGGAATATTTCAGGTCCGTTCTTTTACAAGAGTTCTCAGGCTCCGAAATATCAATTGGGGATATGGAGTATGATTGTGTCTCATTTGACGGAAGCAGTGTTGATTATCATTTTGAGATTCCTGTTGAAGAGGGAAAATGAGAAGAGGGACTTGCAGCAGGGAATTGATGTGGCGAGTGGAGTGAGAGAGGGACGGGGAGATGAATTTGCGGATGAGGATGAGGAGGAAAGAAGAAGGAGGGATTTGGATGATACTGCTTTTGCAGATTTGACGGATAGGGAGAATGAGAATTTTAGGTATATTTTCTGAAGGGTAGATGATGATGGAGTGGATTTGAGGAGGGGTTGAAGGGACTGGTGACAGGTTCCGGAATATCCATGGATTGGATAAATATGCACACACGAGCATTAAGCCATTTGCAATGGTAAATCTAAAATATTTTAAACGATAACATAGATCAATAAATGAGTTCTCATGTTCTTGATATCCCAGACTAGGGATTTCAAGATGATCATTCTGTACCGTTTCCAATCCACCCGCTTTACAATTTTGGTATGAGCTTGCGACGAGAAAGGAAACAATGGATCATCTTTACCTAGGTAGGATTTGAAATCAAAAGGAAATTTGACGGCGCACAAAAATGAAGTATGAGATCGAACGACAATTCACATAAATATCCGGCAATAAAATTCAAAAACCGAAGAACATACCTACCTACCTTATCCATAACCACAACATCCCTCATCCGCGCCTCCCCCGCCTTCTCCCCCTTTCTCCCAGAATACTCAAATATCAACCGCTCATCAAAACCCAATCGATCTTCAAAGAACACCGGTAATTTGTAAGCCCCTCCTCCTCTCAAGCCACCTCAACCCCCAAGAGCAAAGAAGTGATAGGTTTCCCATTATCTAGTCATGCAGTCAATGGAAAGTCAAGTGTTCACCTTGACTCTTGTTGCACGTCTCACTTTCAGGTATTCCGATGATATTGAATTAATGTTTGCTTGGAATGGTGCTTCTTGAATATATTGCCGCAGAATCTTCTTCTGGGGTGAATGAATACACAAGCAGTCCCTTCCAGGTGGCTATTGGAGGAGGTCGTTGGTTGGACATCTTACCTCCTCTAAATTTCCAGTCGCTTGAGACATCTCGTAAGCCCATCTCACAATAGTTTCAAGGATGGGAGCAGGTAGATATATACATGCTCATTCATACATGGCATCACGTTACCACCACGAACTTTTCTTTGTTGCATGTCTTACCTCCGAAATTTCCGGAGAAGTGCCAGAATGAAACTGAAAAGAGGTATGTGTTTCTTGTGTTTGTCTTACCCGAGACCTCCTTCCAAGGAGTTTAAAAATGTATGTATCCAATCGTATCCAGCGCTTCTCATCACCACAACCAAAGGAATATTTGTTGCATATCTCCTCCGAAAAATCCGGTTTATGAATGAAAACCAATAGCATAATGATGCTCGTTCTTGTCACAATCGCTTTTCCTGTATATCTTTTTTCCGAACTTCCCGAAAAAGAATCCGAGTATATGGAAGGGTAATCACCGGACAGCAACTAGAAGACTTGATAGATATTTTGTTGCATGTCTCACCCCCGAGCCTTCCGGTTGTAGTTACTTTGAGACTGTTCAATCCCTCAAAATCATTTGTTGCATATCTCATTCCGGATTTCCCGGGCATAATAGAACATCCAATCTCCCGAGAGTTCCGGTAGCTTGAAGATGTTACCGCTAGGTCGACAATACGATAAATGTGTATATATATATAGCAAGGAAAGGAGATCGTGCTGAAAAAAAGAGAAGTCATAGTCTATTTCAAGAGAGATGACACGATCATCTGCGGATGGAAGTCCCCTTCAACGAATATTCTCACTGATCGATCAACCACTCTCGTGAACGCAGACCACGTGACCGTACACTCTTCATATCATGCGGCCAGGGATTTTGAGTACTACTCATTGTCTATTCACGTCCAAACTCAAGCAACCGAAACACACGCTTTAACAAGACGACGTGTCTATAATAAGATGACGCGACAACTTGAGGTTTTGCAACATTGATTGAGAGCTTGAATAGCTCCATCACAATTAAGCCGAAATATTTGTCTGTACTTTGCGTTTTGTCTTGGTTCTCGAGTCTGAACCATCCAAGCAGCACCCCTCAAACAAAAAAGAAAAGAGATCAGCCAAGAACGCGGGGCATTGACATCAGAGATTGACAATGGGGTACTGTACCGGTCTCGAGCCGGGACATGTCGTTCGTGATACCGAATTACGAAATTAGCCAATTGATCGACACATAGCGTTGCGACGATTCTTCCACAGATGGCTTGGATTCCAAGCCAAATCTAATCGTGGATCGCGACTTACGATTTGAATCTGAGGACTAATGTATGATATGAAAACTCTTCATTATCCGTAGATTGTAGTGGCAATAAAGCACAGAGCTAAGAAGGTATTCAGATGTGCTTTGGTCCTTCAATACCTTCAATATCTTGGAGTATGTGAGGTACAAAAGTCCGATGTTAGGGTTGCCAAGGGTTGTTCGGCGTAAGACCATCTTTGCGGGAAAAGTGTATCAAGTTAGTCAGATCAACGGTAGGGCCTAGAGACTCGAGAGTTGTTGATAGGATGAAGAATTTCACACTCGAGTCGAGTTTCCATTAGAAAGAGAAACAAGAAAAAAAAAAAAGAGAAATCATTCTGGAGAATGGTAGTCAATTGCACTCTGGTGTAGAGGCTTATGAATCGTTGACAGTAAACAAACAATCCCAAAATAAATCAAGTCATCTCACCGTACTTGCCATGCGCTCATTTCATATTTACACTCCTAGATTATCTCATCAAACTATCGATGTCGTCGTAATCAAATTTCATCACATCCATGTATGGGAGTAGATCATATATCTCTCTGTAGGTATGCTTGTTGAACTTTTCACTTGACATAGCCTCCAAGGGGAGTTCCATGTCGTTCTCTGGGTAAGCTTCCGTTGGAAAATCCCTGGCCAGAACCAGGTCAAGACTCAAAACTATGGAATCACGGGTAAAGTAATCAATACATGTATCCATAGTACCGAGTAAACCATGGTTCATTCATCAATTAATGATCAATCAATGATCAACGGGATCTAGAAGAAGTGGTAAAGGAGGTCTGGACTATGGTAGGAATTCTCGATTGCCTTCTTCTGAGTCTCAACTCCGAGTCTGGAGATTTTCGAATGCCAACGAATGAACATCAACATCATACAACAATAATGGAAATTGTGAGGATTCGATTCATAACCAAAGTAGGATGGATGATGGGAAAGGAAAAGACGAAATGAAGGAGTTTCATAGCTTTTTATATATCGTTGTCTTTTGACATCTAGAATCCTGTCGGTGATTTCGCACCATGAACGTGATGTGGAAGTGGCCCAGAAAAAGATTGGACATGCAAGACATTTCAAGGTTCGAGAACAATTGGATGGATTCCTTTCGAGATTCTTTTTCCGAAATGAAGATGTTCGAACTTCAAACCGAAGGCAAATAGGTAAGGAAAGGAAAGGAACGGATCGCAAAGTAAAAATAGAAATAAATGACGACGCAAGCTAACTACCATTCATTCATAATGATTCATGGGAGTTATCATAGGAGTTATCATGGGAAAGTAATGAATTAGATAGTTACCAAAAGTCAACACGTTTTTGTTTTATACTTTCGAAATAAGAAGAGAACCTGTGTATTGACGGAATACCAAGAAAGCTTGAGGGATGGTTTATTTACCTCGTATTGGTTGAAAGTCTACATAGAAGTGATTACCTACCGGTGCCTATCTGCGTGTAGCTATGATTTGCTGTTTATGGATACGAAGTCCTGGATAAAATCTCCATAAGTAAGTTATCTTTGCTCTCTTTGGCTATAACTTGGATATCGCCTTTCTATGCTAAGGTTTCCCATACGAAAAGATGAGCATATAGGTATAAAGTCAATCTTCTCACTAGGTACTTCAATGTTGGAGTAGCAGAGAATAATATACCATTGCCATTGGATGAATCATGAAGCAATGCGGATTGTACGAGGGCGGCGAATGTAGGTCAAAAAGAGCTACACTGTAGGTCTTTGGAGGCCTTGGACGGTAATCATCTCGGTCTTCCTTCCTCTCCCCTACTATTCACATATCCTTATACTTAAAACAGAGCCACCATCAATGTGGCCCAATTGCACTCATTGCCTAGGTATTTATGCAGCGCTGGAGCAGTCAACGCAAAACTAATGCAGGTCCCAAAGCATGTAAAATAGCACAGGATAGAATTTGATTGGTCAGAGTGTCGGCACGGGGTGTAATACTAAGTATGGGAAATGTTTCTCCTTTTGAACCATTTGGAACCTGGCAGTGGCACGATTCGTTTCTTTTTTTTGCCCCAGATGTCCAAGAAACCGGCAGGAGAATTTCCCACTTGGCATCGATCGTGTTCACTCACTTTCCTGCCTGTACGAGGTATGGAGGTTCTTTCATTTGATTTAATCCCCAAAAGGAAATTCACAGAGAATTACTCCCCTGAGGAATGACATTTGATTGGAGGAAGGGAAGGAAAGGAAATGATGGACCGAAATCGAAAGAAGTGGTTCCTGCTTGTTATCCTGGCAGCCACCTCACTAGGTTACCTGTCAGGTACGATGGAATTTGATATTTTATATGGTTCATCCGACCAGATTGAACCAACCAACCAACCAACCAACCTTGGTAATAAAGACCTCTTCGAGACCTCCACCATCCACCATCCACCCTCCACTCAACCACGTCCCCTGCCCTCTCTCTCCCCTTACTACATGTTCAATCCTCAATCCCCTCCCTCCCTCCTTCCCTTCCCTTCCCTTCCCCCAGTTTTTCCTTACAAGGTTGAAATCCCCAATAAATAATAACATGTAATTGAAGCTTTTTCTCTCTTCCTTCTATTCCATTCCAGATCTCTCATTCCTCCTTCTTCAAGATCCTTAGACACTCTTTTAGACTCTAGATCTTTCCTCAATCGCTCCAAGTCTCTCTCTTTAAGGTTGATAGTTCCGAGGCATTCTTTCTTAATTCACTACCACCTCCAAACTCAATTCCACACCATTCGTTATCCTCCATCGACTTTGACTTCTTCTACACTCACTCGCTCATCACAATCAAATCACTTTTTCGACTTATTCTCTCTTACTTGTGGATTTCATCATTCAGTTTATAACAACAACATCATACGTCTCGCTCCAATAACATATCAAAATCAATCAATCAATACCATAATACCATAATACTTCATCATGCTCTCCAAGACTCTTTTCGCCGTTGCGGCTTCGCTTTCCACTGCAAGTGCTGTCAACCAAGGTTTCAACTATGGTGCAACAAACGCAGATGGCTCTTACAGAGTTCAATCTGATTTCCAAGATGCTTTCGAGACTGCCAACTCTCTCGTTGGTACCTCTGGTTTCAACTCTGCTAGATTATATACTATGCTCGTAAGTCGATGGGAGACTTACCTCACGTTTTTCTTGATGC